ACAAAGAATACCTCATGAAGAAAAAGCAGAAGAAACAACAGAGATTGAAACAATATGAGAAAAAAAGAGAAGCTGGGAAGAACAAGTGGTTAAACTTTCATAGCAAAGCTATAAAGAAACCGGGTGTACGAGCAAAGAGTATATTTGCTTCACCCGACAATTTGACCGGGAGAGTTGGCGTCGGCACATGTGGCATATCCGGGAGACCTATGACTGGGTATACTGTTGGGGAAAAGTGGAAGAAAGGTGGATCACATAGCTAATTGTAAATAAGTTTAATTTGTAAATTAATTTACACACACACAATAACACACCATTAATTCATTTGTTAAATGGTGCATGTTATACTTGTACAACTGTAACACTCATTATGTTTATACTAATTGGTTGATTGTTTTATTTTTACAAAATATAACATAGAACAGTACTATTTGCTTTTATTTCCCCTTTAGTCAAGAACCTATAATTCTGATAAGGTATATCTGATAAGCTCAAGCCAATTTTAATATTTATAAAAAAAAATAAACAAATGCACAGAAATTCGTTTATTGAGCACGCGAGTTATCATTAGGTTCTATGTGATACAAATGAAAATAAATACATATAAGTCACCCACACTTGCTACGCCGTAGCAGTTCCTAATAAGACGTTGTATTATGTTGAATCTGTGATTTGTAAGATTTGTAAAAAAAAACAAAACCAGTCCTTCAGGCACACACAGTGGAAGCAATTAGGATCTACACTAAAATATCTGAATCGCCATCATCATTGGCCTATATGTGCCCACTGCTGAGCAAAGGCTCACACGGAGGTTAGAGCATTAATCACCACACTTGCTCAAGGCGGATTGGCGATTTCAGACTAATAATAAGACATTATAAGTCCAGGTTTCCTTACTATGTTTTCCTTCACCGTATGTCAGTGGTGTCTAAAATATCAGAAAATACATATTTAAAACTAGCTTCCGGCCGCAGCTTAGCATGTGATTAATCATATATTATTATAGCAGTCGGGAGCTATTCATCAAAGAAAGAATTTTGAAAATCCAACCAGCGAGTTCAAACATTTCCCCTTCATACAAACTAACAAATATAACTTCTTTATAATATTCGTAAAGGTTATTAATGGTCGAATTAATGCTCCGGAATCAGAGGAATTGTTCCGCTCATTGATATGGAGAAGGAACAGAATGGGCGATAGCACGCAGCCTTGAGAGACGCCAGCGTTCACAGACAAGTAGTCGGAGCATTAACCGTTGACCATTACCTTTATGTTTTTGTCTGGAAGGAAACTAGTGACCCATTTTCATAGTTTCTCGGGAACCCCTTTTTTTCTTTTTTTTTTATTTATTCACAAAACTGATGTACAATCTTAAATGCAAATAAGAAAACATTAATATAAACATTTTTCTGATTGACATCTACTAGATGTGAATCCAGCATGCATATTGAAACACTTACTATCTAAAATATAAGTATAACAGAGTTAAACAATTGAAAGGAAGCTTCAAAAAAAGTGCTCTACGTCAAACCTGATCGAAGGCTTTCGCTACGTCCAAACAGACCGCCATTGCTCTCCTCCTGTGACGCATCGTCATCGATCACATCTAATCTTATGTATACATTAAACAATATTTGAAAAAACCCCTAAAACGTCATCCGTTTGTACAAGTAGGACATGTGGTATTTATTACCTTTTCTAGTAAATATTTATGACATAGCATTGTCTCACTGACCGTCCTTTGTTTATCTTTGTAAACAGCTTACTGAGGTAGTTGTAACAGATTAAGAATATCTAGTGCCAAGTTAGAACAATGGACATTTTAATACAATACAAGCATTTTATGTGATGTCGCTTTGAATAATAATTTATTTCTACCAAGTATAACATAATAATGCTGTTGTTACAGAAAAGGTGTGAGAAAATGATGTTAGTTTCAAAGAAATTACCTAATTACTAATTGTTCGTCTTCAGAAAGATAAAAAGTAATAAAACAACAGAAACTTGGTTTTCTACCAAGTCTTACACAGCTTTGGACTACACGGACATGATTTTAATTTAGGAAAGTGTCAAGGAAATGCCGCTTTATTATCAACAGAGATATGGGGACATTCGAGTTTGTCCGACCAACGAGTGTTCTATTGTCCAAGCTGTCCAGACTGAAAATAAACCCTTAATCTCGCATATGGATAGTGCTCCTCGTACGAGAGTAATCAGCGAGGAACGAATTTAACTTACCTTAATGAATCGAACAATTTTGTAATTTAACCTACCTAGTAACGTAATGATGAACAGTGATCCTGATAGTGATTAATACATAACACACGGGTTTCTAATTATTTAAATAAAACATCTGTGATTCAGTGTAATTATTACCGTACTGAGCATTAATAATAATTCCTCGAAAACATCAAGTCGCTACTCGCTACCTACCTACTTGCTACGTACGGGACCGCGCCAATGCTGTTGCTGTTGTCACAGGTTAGTGAACTTCGTATAAGTGTTCTATTTTGTTTCCGTTTTTGATAGTATAGAATATAATAGTATAGTATAGATAGTATAGAATTATTGTTATGTATGAGTATCATCGCTGGTTAAATTTATTGTCGTATTGTTCTTACCACCTTGTATATGTTGTTTTATTACTTTTTATTATCTTTCCGAAAACGAACAATTAATAATTAGGTAATTAATTTCTTTGAAACTAACATCATTTTCTCACACTTTTACTGTAACAACGTTTGTTTTGTAACAACAATATTTTATAACACAATAATGACTGCAAAAGTTTTCTTAAGCTTTTTATTTAGTTGGATTGTACCCGCCCAGAGTTGTATGATTTACTTAAGCAGATGCTACTACGCCGTAGTATCTCACCAGCTACGCCGTTGTCTCATTTGCTACGAATTTAATTAGACAAAATTAAATGGTAACACTTACCTATTTAAAATTCTGAGCGTCACCAATGCACTGGAAAAATCTGGATCTAATATATAAAAAAAATCAAACAGTACATTAATACAACAGGAGCGTAGTTAACGTCAACCTTATGTATTTGTATTTAAGTGAACCATGAGAAGAAAAGATATGGGAGACTCTATCAAAGACTTGATACTTTCAAAGAATAAATTTAGGTATATAATGATGTCGTGTTACGAAAGAAAAAATCACTGAGAGAGTTGGGGAAACAAAGTTCAGATTGGGTTTTTTTATAGTATAGGTCGACAAACGAGTAAACGGATTACCTGATGATAAGCAATCAGCGCCGCCCAGGGACGCCCACAACGCCAAGGAGTTACAAGTACGTTGCCGGCCTATTAGGGATAAGGGTTTTGGATATTTAAGGATTGGGAAGGGTTTGGGGAAGGGGAGGGATTGAGCTTCCGGTAACTTCAGTCAAACGGCGAAAGACAACGCTGTGGTTGTTTCAAGTCGGTATTATGTGAGGCCGTGGTATCACTACGGTCGAGCTGTCCCATTCGTGCCCAAGCTTGGCTTCCCCTACACTTAAACTTGGGGTTAGTAATTAGTAAATATATTTGCTATACACCATGTATACAAATTGTACGTACAAATACTATCACCATCTGTAGTACAAGGGGGGAGTCTGTCGGGCGGTCTCATCGCTTACACCGATCTCTTCTATCGTCCCAATGTCAGTGATAAAGTTAATTATTAATGTTCGTTGTAGTTATTTGTTTTATATGTATCTAACGTAGTTTATAGAGAGGTAATTGAAATTAATTACCTAAATAAGTTAAAATATTTTTTTTACATATGTTTATGAAAATTGTATATCGATTACCACTTGAGCAGTTTTAATATTTATCAAGGGGTCTAAAAGTCAAAAGTCAAAAATCATTTATTTCAATTAGACCACAGTAGGCACTTTTGAACGTCAAGCAAGCAAAAAAGGAAAAAAGTATATAACAAGAGCTTTAAAATTAAGCGTGTCAGTCTGTCCGTCTGTCCTCTAGTTAAGCTATTTGCTCGTTCCAAAGTGTAGATTCCTATGGAGAAGAACGAGCAAGAAACTCCATGGTTACTCTTTTTCAATCAGTTTTACAATACATTTCTTTGTTACATCATTTAGTCGGTTCTGATATGTGAGAACAATGTAACACTAATGTTCAGGCAAAAAGTACGAAAAAGAAGTGAACCTCAAGGACAACATATTTAGACAGCCTGGAGATGACCAGTCCCAATAGGCGGCGCCCGTTCACGAGCATGACACGTACACCAGCACCGCCCAACTCAACCATATTATAGGGAATTGGGCGATCCAGTGCCCGTGCCACCGCCAATGAGACCTCTGAGTGAGCATGACAGCTCCCAGCCGACACAAGTACCTATATTCTACAAGTCTTACTTAATTATAATAGGTTACAGGGCACTCACATTTACAAAATCTTAGAAGTTCATCAACAATTAACAACATAGTGTACAATTTAATAATTAAAATTAAAAAAAATACTCTAAACATCCTGTGGAGTAGGACCAGCTAGCCTCCAAGCATTTTTATCTTGTATATAATCATTTAGTTAAAGCACCGAAGTGGGGGTCACAAGGCACGAAGTCATTTGTTTTATATGTAAGGTTATTTACATATAAAACAAATGACTTCGTGCCTTAAATACAGGGTCTTGAAATAAGTATATATTATGCAGTTTAAATAATTTATTTTATTACAAGTTTCAATTGATGCACATATAAAAAATTGATCACAATTATAACAAACCTGAGAAAAGTCTAAATGTCTAAATTAATATAAACTATAAATTTATTTTAAAATTAATATCACTATGTTCAAAGTTTAGTTTAAAAGTATTTTATTTTATTAAGATAAGAAATAAAAAATTATATATCACAATAATGATACATAGAATAACAGCACATTGGGGTCTAAAGTCCCGAAATGGGGGTCACATGGCACATTTTAAATAACTTTTTTATCATGCATTGTTTTCTTAACTATGTTAAAACAATCATAATATCTTCGGTCAGCTTAACTCTAAGTGTGAGGCGTAAAATTTTTGCAGCGAACTGGGTAGGAGGTGGAATTGATTCAGACAAAGGTCTGCGGAGAGTAACAGCCACGTTGTGGAGTCTGGAGGGGGCGAGAGCAGGCGGACACGGATGGAAACGGTGAGCTCGTCCAGCTCTTGGGGTAACGCGGCCATCAGCTCGCGACCGTTCACCATTAACTGTGAATTAAGTAATAGAATTAGTATTTGTGAGGTCCTTAGAGATATATGGTCAGGGTGATTGTGAACAAGGTGAGATTTAGGTAAGAGTGATGTAGTACCTGTGTGGCGAGACTGCGGTGTGCGCGAATGTCCTGGGAGGCGAGTAGTGCGCGCATGTACTGCAGCAGAGGCTCGGCGAGGAAGTCGACTTTCTTGCCGTTACTGAGGCGGGCCTTCGCGAAGTAGTCTCCCATTATATTGGCCGCGTTTACGAGGTACCGAGGGTCGGAGCGCTCCAGTATGTCCAGTTCTGTAAACGGAGGTGAAGGTAGTAAGTTATATAATTAACCACTACAAAGAAGACAAAAAAAACATAAAAAATCCTAATGATTAACAAGCAGACTTGTTGAAGAAACGTTATTGATATTATACTGATTATTGAGTATCATAAGTAGATAGTACTTACTATTAAAGGTTTCCTGTAACACAACGTTAAGGAAGACTCGGCGCAGGTGAGGCTGACTGTTGAAGCAGGCGCCCACTGCAGCCAGCTTGTGCGCCGTCACCGGGCTCTGCAGGGCCGCCGCGCGGATCGTCGCGAATGCTTCTCTGTACAAAGTCAAATAGTTATAATTATGGAACATTTGAAAACAATACAACACCATAAAGAAATAGACTCAAAGATCAATACTTACTGTACAAGCCTTTCCTCTGGACACATAGAGGAGATCGTGGCCTCAAAATGCCGCAGCTTTTTATTTAATAATATGCCATCTTCACCCGGAGAGAACTTCTCTAACTGTGGACGACAACACGATATAAGTACTTTGACTATATATTTAAAAACGGAGGAGCTCGAAACAAGTATAATAATATGATGATATCACTCACCAAAGTGATGAGAGGGACATATTTCTCCTCAACCTGCAGCAACTCCTTCAACGCTGATTCCTCTTCTGCTTGAGCCGGGGACTGTGTCTCTGGCTTTGCTATGTCTTGCTTCTCTGACTTCTCGTCACACTCCTTCTTCGCGTCAATGTCTTTTTTATAAAAGAAATTCTAATTAAATACCGTTCAGTAAATGCTATATCAGGCTATACTTTAATAATAGTAAAAAACATACCTGACAGCTCCACTTCTACACTCCACACAAAACTCTCAACGCCTTTGCCCATTTTTTTATAAAGTAAAAACTGGTTATTGTTCCAGGAAGCACCTGTTCGCGACAACCGCTTTAACGCACACAAACTTTGCACTGGACTGCACTGTTCGATATCCCAAGAGCAACTGACGAAGTGACGAGCGAACTGCTGAACTAAAACTTCTATTGACGACACATAACCTGATCGGGAGAAGTGCTGCACTCCTATCTACCATTGAGAATTTCTGTGTCATTGTTTCGCTATTGCATATTTTGTCCTTCTCTAACGTATAAAAGCTATTGTGTAGTCAAATTTTGCTATCTCCCTCCGTGATACATTTTTAGTTAAATTAAACGATTAGTTAAAAACGTGATCACAGTTAAATTGACGCAAACAATACCTAATAGTTCGATTTTACTAATATTAAAGTTACCTATTCAAAAATCATTTGACAGGTTTCGGCCCTTTGTAAGGTACAAAGGGCCGAAGTCAAAGATCCGGGACCCTGCGGTCTCGTGAATGGAAACAAACACACGAAATACTTGAATTTCACTCATCCATGCAATAAAAGCCTTCAGAACTATTTTGAAGCCTTCGGTTCCAGATCCATACAGAATCGATGCTCATATTTAAAACAACAAAAGATGAAAGAGCGCTCTTAAGCGTGCTTTACACAACCTTACTATTTTAGTTGAGTTTCCTTCTTCGGCTGATGCGGCTGTCCAGGTCGCATCGTCTGTGCAGATTAATCCTTATTGTCTAGCAGGAAGCGTAGCCGGCACACATCACATGTTTTTTAAAATCTGGGAGAGTTCCTGAACATAGCCATTTTTTATCTTGTCTAGTCTCGTCACGACAGTTTTCATATCCATCGCAGCATTCTCTTCTCTGCTGTAAGCAGTCTTCTTTCTCCTGCGATTTCCGTGGCTCCTATCCACTGAAGTCTAGTTGCTATTACAATGTACTAAAATTATCCAGGACAATCTACATATGTAGATACATATTATACGAATTTTATTTTTGCAAAAAGAAACAATATTTTAGAAGAATTGAGCATAATTGATTTTTGCAACAATGTTTAAACATCTTGGTTGTGTGCCTAATAATGTAATGTGCGTGAATGTCAAAGGATCATTTTCTATTACCTCTAGCACCAGTTCTTCTACTTCGCGACATCACAACTGAGGTACTACTTATTATATTTATATTTTTTGGTTTTTTTTTTCTGAATGGCCTTAAGATATAGGTACTAATAGGCATTTCACGGTTATCCATTCGTTACCGAACACCCTGTATATTTATCTCGAAATTCATACCATAGCCAACATACATTCATACCTACCTCAAAACTTATGCATTAAACAGTTTTTAAAAAAAACATAATCTTAAATTTCATCCCTTAATATAAATAGTAGTATTTATGACATAGCATTGTCTCACTCACCGTCCTTTGTTTATCTTTGTAAACAGCTTACTGAGGTAGTAGTAACAGATTAAGAATATCTAATGCCAAGTTAGAACAATGAACATTTTAATGCAATACTAGCTTTTTGTCTTGTGCCGCTTCGAATAATATTTTTGACAGAGAGTTTCAAACCTTTTGTTATAAAGATCTTGGAATTTTAAGAATATTATTATTGCTAAGACAATACCCAGTTTAACAACTTTTATATTTAACGACTTTTGAATTTTATTTTTAATACTTTCTCTATCTTTCTGAAGACGAATAATAAGTATTAATAGAATTTCTTCGAAACCGTCGAACGATAATTTTTGTACGAGATGCAATGCTAAAATTTGTACTTAATTTGAATTTGTAAGTTACTTAAAATTTCCAATGTGATGACGTCATCATTGTCCCATACCTTTACTGTAAGAATGTTGGTAGGTTCCAATAGTATTTTATTACCGAATAATGTTTGCAAAAGTTTTCTTAAACTTTATAATATTGTTGTATTATCTTAGTCCAGATTATCTACATTTTTAGATTCTACTACGCCGTAGTATTTATCACCTGCTACGTCGTAGTAATTTGCTACGGCTTTAATTTCAATAATGCTAACAGTTGTTTGAAATCAAATGCGTCGCCAAAGCACTGAAGAAGTCTGTATCTGGTACGGACGTTAATACTGCAGGACGTCTAACGTCAACGTTATGTATTTGTATATAGGAGACTGGATAATCTAAACAACAGAGAAGAGATGGGAGATTCAATCAGTCAAGAACTACTTTCAAAGAGAAAAGTTTTATAATGAGTACAAAGTGTAGGAGAGCCATATGCTTCGGCACGAATGGGTCAACTCGACAGGACTACCGGAGTGATACCATATGGCCACCACAGCGTTATGTTTCGCCGTTTAAGTGAGGTTACCGGAGGCCCAATCCTTCCCCGCTCCCAATCTCTCCCCAATCTCGAAATAACCAAATCCCTAATACCCAAAAGATTGAAAACGCACTCGTAGCTCCTATGTTGTTGCGGGTTTCTATCAGCAGCGCTGATTGCATCAGGTAATTCATTTGCTCGTTTGCCGACTTATTACATAAAAAAGAAGGATGTTTTGTTATGGTCAAGATAAGGTTCAAATAAAAGAAGAAATCACTCTTATAGAATTTATTTATTACTAATAAAATATATATATATATTTATATTTCTATGTACACAATTTATAAAATTATATTCCTAACAAATGAAAGCAAAATGGATGCTGTACGTGTCGCGGGTTCCATTACCGCACAGAACAACACTTTGTGCGATCAAAAAAATGTTGTTTCGGGGTTGGGTGGCTTATTGTGTTTATGAATTTGTGTTTGTGTACCCACGACACAGAAAAAAATACTTAAGTGAAGCAACGTTTTTTTTTTCAAGAATCTGTCACCACATCTAATAAATCTGTCGGGCGGTCTCATCACTTACACCGATCTCTTCTATCCTCCCAATGTCAGTAATAAGTACAGTAGGTACAGTAGTTAGTGCATCGTAGTCATTTGTTTTATTTGTATAGTACTTAATTGCTATATTGAAATCAATTTAATGTACTTATTTGGTTTAAATAATATATTTTATTATAAGTATAAATTCTTGTACAAAACTACAAAATACATGTTCACTATAATGAGCCTAAAAGTACCAAATAAATATAAACTAATATTTGAAATAAAATAATATTATTATATACAATCCAAAGTTTAATAAAAATGTGTTTTTTTTTTTAAATATATGAATTGTATATCAGTCACAACTTGACAGGTCTTAATATTTATCAACCACTGGGGTCTAAAACACCGAAGTGGGGGTCACAAGGCACGAAGTCATTTGTTTTATATGTAAGGTTATTTATAAACAGGTTATTGAAATAAATATATATTATGCAGTTTAAATAATTTATTTTATTGCAAGTTTAAATTGATTCACATATAAAAAATTGATCACAATTGTAACAAACCTGAGAAAAGTCTAAATGTCTAAATTAATATAAACTATAAATTTATTTAAAATTAGTATAAGTCAAAAGTATATCATTTTATTAAGATTATAAATTACAAATTATACATCACAATAATAATACATAGAATAACAGCACATTGGGGTCTAAAGTCCCGAAATGGGGGTCACATGGCACATTTTAAATAACTTTTTTATCATGCATTGTTTTCCTGACTATGTTAAAACAATCAAAATATCTTCGGTCAGCTTAACTCTAAGTGTGAGGCGTAAAATTTTTGCAGCGAACTGGGTAGGGGGTGGAATTGATTCAAACAAAGGTCTGCGGAGAGTAACAGCCACGTTGGGCTGACTGGAGGGGGCGAGAGCAGGCGGACACGGATGGAGACGGTGAGCTCGTCCAGCTCTTGGGGTAACGCGGACATCAGCTCGCGACCGTTTACCATTAACTGTGAATTAAGTAATAGAATTAGTATTTGTGAGGTCCTTAGAGATATATGGTCAGGGTGATTGTGAACAAGGTGAGATTTAGGTAAGAGTGATGTAGTACCTGTGTGGCGAGACTGCGGTGTGCGCGAATGTCCTGGGAGGCGAGTAGTGCGCGCATGTACTGCAGCAGAGGCTCGGCGAGGAAGTCGACTTTTTGGCCGTTACTGAGGCGGGCCTTCGCGAAGTAGTCTCCCATTATATTGGCCGCGTTAACTAGGTACCGAGGGTCGGAGCGCTCCAGTATGTCCAGTTCTGTTAATCGAGGTGAAGGTGGTAAGATATATAATTAGACACTACACAGAAGACAAAAAAAATATATAAAAAATCGTAATGATGAACAAGGAGAGAGAATTGATATTATACTGATTATTGACTATCATAAGTAGAAAGTACTTACTATTAAAGGTTTCCTGTAACACAACGTTAAGGAAGACTCGGCGCAGGTGAGGCTGGCTGTTGAAGCAGGCGCTTACTGCAGCCAGCTTGCGCGCCGTCACCGGGCTCTGCAGGGCTGCTGCGCGGATCGTCGCGAATGCTTCTCTGTACAAAGTTTAATAGTTATAGTTATGGAACATTTGAAAACAATACAACACCATAAAGAAATAGACTCAAAGATCAAGATACTTACTGTACAAGCCTTTCCTCTGGACACAGAGAGGAGATTGTGGTCTCAAAATGCCGCAACTTTTTATTCAATAATATGCCATCTTCACCCGGAGAAAACTTCTCCAACTGTGGACGACAACACGATTAGTACTTTGACTATATATTTAAAAACGGAGGAGTTCGAAACAAGTATAATAATATGATGATATCACTCACCAAAGTGATGAGAGGGACATATTTCTCCTCAACCTGCAGCAACTCCTTCAACGCTGACTCCTCTTCTGCTTGAGCCGGGGACTGTGTCTCTGGCTTTGCAACGTCTTGCTTCTCTGACTTCTCGTCACACTCCTTCTTCGCGTTCATGTCTTTTTTTATAAAAGAAATTCTAATTAAATACCTTTCAGTAAATGTAACTACTATACTTTAATAATAGTAAAAATAATACCTGACAGCTCCACTTCTACACTCCACACAAAACTCTCAATGCCTTTGCCCATTTTTTTATAAAATAAAAACTGGTTATTGTTCCAGGAAGCACCTGTTCGCGACAACCGCTTTAACGCACACAAACTTTGCACCGGACTGCACTGTTCGATATCACAAGAGCAACTGACGAAGTGACGAGCGAACTGCTAAACTAAAACTTCTATTGTATTGACGACATATTACCTGATCAGGAGAAGTGCTGCACTCCTTTTCAACCATTGAGAATTTCTGTGTCATTGTTTCGCTATTGCATATTTTGTCCTTCTCTAACGTATAAAAGCTATTGTGTAGGCAAATACTGCTTTCTCTTTCTATTCTACATTGTTAGTAAACAATTGAAAGATTAGTTAAAAAGGTGATTACAGGTAAATTGGCAACCTGAATTATTATTCTCGGAACTTGGCCCGGGATCGGAATCGAAACAGAACGATAAGTGTATTACTATTAACAAAGTTAAGTTTAAAAACATGTAACTTTTGAACAGTTTAATATTAACAAAACATTGGGGTCTAAAGCCCCGAAATGGGGGTCACAAGGCACGTAGTCATTTGTTTTATAAATGTACCTAAGGTTATTTATTGAGATTCTACCTTGTTTGATTGAAAAACGCTTCATCGAAAATCTAATTCGTAATTACAATTAAGTTATTTCAAAGAATTATTAATTTCACCGAATAACTCATTAGTAAATTTTGTATTTAGCATTATTAGTTGTTTGACTTGATTTAATTATTTAAGTAATGATCAAAAGGTATAATTTGATGTAATGTGCAGATAGTTATAACATGAATTGTACATGTCACTTTAAAATTTATTTTATTTTATTTGACAACTAGCGACCTGCCCCGGCTTCGCGCGGGTGTAATGGTGATACTAAATTTCTTGTGTTACTTGTGATGTTATTATAATTTAAGTATGTCCGTGCATGTAGCGTGGGTCACCTGTAAAAGGAGAGTGTAAAATAACTCTTTCTTTTTCTCTTTAAAAAAAACGTTGCCCCACATTAGGACTTCCTCCTGTGTCGTGGATGCGGTTACAAACATACAATTTCACATATACATGACACCCAAACCCGGAACAACAATTTGCGGAAAGAAAGAAAGAAAGAAAGAAAATATTTATTTGTGAGAATGTAGTACAAATATAGGTGTGTGAATCTCACACATTCTACCGAATTGGTGTACAAATTATTTAGCTTAATATCTAGTTATAACTATGCACTACTTATCATCATCTAAATAATCTTTAGTGCAATAATAACATTTATTTAGCAAAAACTCAAACAATTTTCGTTTAAAAAGACATTAGGTTAAGGATCAGGAACCCGCGTAACGTTGCACGGCAGCCAGTTGCCCAGCCACCGTACCAACCGTGCAGTCAAAATAATATATATACGAGTCAAAATAATATAATAACAAAACGGGCCAAACTTAAAGTATTATTATGTTGCTGCATGGCGTTGCAAAGATACACGCATTTTTAGGATATGTCATGTATATGTAAGTTTGGTGTTTTCATACTAATTTCTATCATTCTTTTATTATTGAATAGGTACCTAATAATGTTATTTTTTAATTAGGGATAAGTGACAGTATTATGAACTTAATAGCAAAAAACAAATATAAGTAATCAGAATGCTCCGAACTGCTAAGCCTTTAGGAGTTGTGTTGTGTTTGTTATTGTGAGTCAACCATAACAGATAGTCATATGCTGTTGTGAAATATTTTTTAGATAATTTTATGTAGAAAATTCTCGCGATACGTGATTTCTGTAACTTTAACCATTAAGACTGCACACGCAACGTAAGCTAAAGAAATGGAGTAATTTCTCCCGTTTTCCAAACATTTCCTTTCATACTGCTCTGCTCCTATTAATTGTAGCGTGAAGAAAAGGATCCTATAACCTGCCCAGGAATATAAAGAATAATTTTACCAAGTTTCGTTAAAATCTGTCGAATATTTTTTGTTTCTATAAGGAACAACAGACAGACAAACATTTTTGGCATCAGTATCGATCACTAATCACCTCCTGATAGTTATTTTGATAATATATTTCATGTACAGAATTAACGCCTCATTATAACTTTAGATGCACCTGTCTTAATGATCCTATATTATCAGATATTAGGTAACATTACGTTACATTGTTAACGATGTAACCGTTTCAACATTAATTTTCAATTCACCACTACTTAGTTTAATATTAAAACAGAGTTATTATTAATTTCAGATGAAGTGTGGGAGAGCCATGCTTCGGCACGAATGGGTCGGCTCGACCGGAGTGATACCACGGCCTCACAAAAAACCGGCTGAAACAACCACAGCGTTGTGTTTCGCCGTGTGAGTGAGGTTACCGGAGGCCCAATCCTTCCCCTCCCTCAATCCCTCCTCAATCCCTAAATATCCAAATCCCGAATCCCTAAAAGGTCGGCAACGCACACGTAACTCCTCCGTTGCGGGTGTCCATGGGCGGCGCTGATTGCTTACCATCAGGTAATCCGTCTGCTCGTTTGCCGACCTATTACATTAAAAAAAAAAGATAGATTTTGAAGCCACCTGCCGCTGCTGACCCGCCCTTTGGGTGGAGGAATCGAGATCGTCGTTCGACACCTCATTTGTGTTGCAGAATGAGGCTTCCCAATCCTTCTTGCTTCTCGCACCGTGGCCTAGACTAGGGCCGGGCGTAAGAGGTCGCCGCCGCCTTTTACTTCCCTGAGGACATGGCGGCGCTCAGCCCAGGCAGGGCACACCGCCACCGTATATTATACCGTGTCCCAAAACTCGACGTCAAGCAGGGACCGGGTGATAGAGCAAGTCAAACTGGTTGTTAGAAAAATATAAATAAATCGAATGGATTTAAAATTATATCTATTTTTTTTTACTCTCCTGTTGCTATTCTTTGTGGCCCTGTACTATAAAATTGTCTAAGCCCTAAAAAAATGTAAGACACCTGATACCCTAGTAAAAAAATTAAGACTTGTTTCTTGATATAAATTAAAAAATCTTAGTTTTAATATGGGCCACGACCCTGCACTGTCGACCATTTTCCGCACCGCAATACGGTAAGGTATTTTCGAACTAGTCAAATTCAATACTTTTATCCAAATGTCAAAAACTATGTATGAAGAACTGAGTGATGATGTCATAGTAGGTATTTTTGCGTGAAATGGCTTTCTTATTTCTTAATAATTAGCTACAAAATACCTAAAACTTAATGTAACGATCGATCGATTAATAAAAAAAAGTATATTTTATTTTTCAATATTTTATTGTGTCGAAACGTGGAATTAATTTATTTTTCACCTAGTCAACTACCCAATTCAAGGTAGGTGAGAAATAAGATTCAAAATGCAAAACCCGACTCAATGGTTTAAATCTAGACTTCGGCGAAATGAGTATAAGTATTAGTTACCACCGAACATAATTATCAAGATCATATTCACCATTGTTTGCAATAAGCTTCGTTTGAAGTAGAAAGATAAATCAAGTTTTGTCATAAGAAGGGAAGGGACGGTTACAGTTAGGCCTGGTTTACGCACACGCAAAGCGTCACGTGGTAAGCTAAGGTTTGCGGTCCAACCGCAGTTATATGAGACGGGGCCCTATAGAGCTGATGTTCAACCGGGGTTGCGGGGTAAGCGCAATGAGTCACCGCGACCTCGGCCCAGAACAGGAGAAGGAACAGGGGGTTTTTAGTCAGTAAGAGTCTTGACACTCCCTCCAGCCTGGCCTTTAGGGACGGGAGGTGATGAATTTTCCCTAACAAAAAAAAAGCGCAATTATATACCACGCCTCGAGTAGAAGAATGAACCAGAGGGCTTACCATGACGTGTTGAAGCGTGAATCTTCTGGACGAGAAAGAGGGATGGAGCTATAAAGTGGGGATTTTTAGTCGGTAATAGGCTGATTATCCTTTCACCCCACCTGGTGTGAGAAGTCAGATTTTTCAAAGGAAGAATTTGATGATATTCAACCCTCATTTGTAGTATATTACTGCAGCAGACAGCGTCAGTTCAGCTTATAAGGAAACTATGACGGACGCCCAAAACGCGTCGCATCAAAAAAGACCTTATGATGAAACAAAAAATAATTTTGTAAACATTTTTATTAAAAAATAACTTATTTACAGTTTACAATAAACTTAAGTAACAACTAAATGCGAACACTACATAATTTAAATATATTTATGTACAAACGAAATGACTTCTTGATTTATCGGGTATTTTGATGTAGTCTTGAGATGATCCCGATCATGTGGTAATATTTAGACAAAAGTAGGCAAAATTTTCTGATTGAAATTATGTTTGGAAACTAGGTATTTTCTTTAGCAGTAAAAAAATATTTAGTGCTCTTTACCGCCTTATTATAAGTTCCCGATAATATTATGTGACATTTAGCTCATACAAATTAAGTTATATATTCAAAATTTATCTGAATATATCAGCTGTTTCAGACATACTGAAACCCCAAGACGTTTCAATGCTATAAAATATCAAAAAATGATTAAACAAATTGACTTTACGATACATATAAATAATACGGTAGTTTCCAACTGGTCAAATTCAATACATACAATTTATAAATCCAAATGTCAAAACCGATACCTTTTCTATGAAATTTGTATGAAACACTGAGTTATGATGACGTCATAGTATTTTTGCGTCATTATAGCTAAAAAATATCTCAAACTTATTGTGTCGATCGATAGATGAATTAAAGTATAGTTTATTTTTCAATATTTTATTGTATTGAAACGTCGAATTAATTTATTTTTGACCTAGGAAACTACCCACCCAGCACTCTTGGTTTTTCCTAGCTGATTTAAAAAAAATGTTTAATTGTCTTAATTTATTGAAAATCAATACGTCTGATTGTTTGCAGTCCGATCACAAAAAAAAACACAATCTCGTAAAAATAGATTTTTACAAAACAAAATACGTAGTGACTGGACTATCAACAAACTTGCTCCTAACTGAGAAAGAAATGTTGAAATTTTTAATAAAAAGTTGTTCGTTTCCAAGCTAATGTTAACATTATAAGGATGGACTATGTTACAGATAACTATTTAAAACATAATCTGTATAATCTATATGCCATAAAAGTTTATCGGGAATAAAATTATATAGAAGCGATAGAAACCAATCCAAGATGTAGGATTTTTCTATATGACGGAGCGTCGATTATTTAAATTGAATTTTGAAGGAGGTTTTATCACAATTCATCGGACGAGGGTACAATGAATCGTACTCTGGCGGAACGTCAAACTGACAGTTCTGCGTGCGCATTATGGTGTAGAGCGAGCGCTGTGACTGTCATCTGAGACGGATCGCCGACGTCCGTTATTTTTGTAATTTATTCGGTCTGATTATAAAATCCTACGCCCTGCGATAGACTGTGAAGACGATGATCGGGATGTTGATGTTTGTACCAACCCCCCGGTGCATACAAATGCGGTCTTATACAAAAGTTTAATAATATTTATGTATGATATACATATTATTATTGTTATAAATATACTATTGTTTGTTCTGATTTCATACGTATACATAAACGGTTCCGGTGAGCAGTTTTAAGACAAAATACAAAAAGAAATATTAGGTAAAATATCGACGCAAGAATCAAACCCCATTACTTTGCTAGGCAGTCAGTAATTAGTCATCCAACTCTATCAGTTCATTACAAAACGTATGATGAACATATGAAAATGAATAATCATTTTTTTTTTATATTTAATACATATACAGATTTATTCGCTACTGCGTCACCAAAAAAAAACAAAAAGTAAAAAAAAATACAATTTTATAACCCACGTGTAACGTATTAAATTGATTCCATTACACTAACTGAATATACATTATTTCACCAAAATCTGCCCAGTCGTTTAGGGGTAAAGGCGCAAAATACAAACAAACACTGTTATAATATTTTCAAAATAAAATCTAGGAACAAATGCAAACAATACCGTGCTTCTATTTGAACTTACAACTATTTCTAGTAGAAAAACTAAATGAATAGTTTATTTTCCGCTCTGAAACTTCGAACTTAAAGTTAATTAATTTGTAACAACTAATAAGCGAAATTAATTAGCAATTGCGATCCAAAAAATGTTGATTCTGAGCGTTTCCGCGGCAGAGGCATTCATTTTTTTGGGGCAAAACAGCCGACTGATTGATTACCTGATGGTAAGCAATCCGCCCATGGACACTTGCAAAACCAGAAGAGAAGAAGAAAGAAAAATTTTACGAAAGTGTTAAAATTTTAGACCCTTAATAATAGGTCTTTACCTATGAAATTGCCGTTCTGCAGTACTGGCCATTTCAAATCAAAATAGTTTTTGTTAGGCTAAGGCTAATTAATTTTGTTTTAAAGACATGGGATTCTTTTTCCAAAACTAGTCATTTGTTTATTGATTAGTGTTACATTTTCATCGCATTTCAAAACAAAAAAATTCGTTAAAATTTTTTCATGCAAAACGGCAATTTCATAAAGACATATTATATTGTGTATGAGTACAGAGTTGAATTAAAATCGATTCAGTTATTCAGTAATTTTGAGTGACAAGAAAGTTTATTTGAAAACCTTTGCCGTGTAAAAGCTCTTCAGATCACATTTTGACAATGTTTATATGGATTTATGGGGTAACAGAAGATGGTAATTTATATACTATTTAACTTAAGACCCTTAGACGTAGGACTTAATAGGCATTCGTAGGTAGCCTAGATGAGAACCTAGATTTAATACAACATTGCAACTAGCTCGGACTAAAACCTAAAACATTCGATGATTTTGACTCTTTTAATATGATGATGTATCTGTAAAGAAAGAAAACATACACTTTTATAAAAAGAATTCATATATGCAACTCTATTTAAAAATTTACTAACTTTTGCCCGCGACTTTGATCGCGAATAGTGACTTCCTGCAGATATTTGTCTAAAAAACTCTCCTATATACTTTCTCGAGTTCCAAACTATGTCTGTAAATTCACACAAATAGGTTCAAAAGTTTAGGCGTGAAGAAAAGACAGACAGACAGTTACTTTCGCATTTAAAATATTATAGTTTGGAAGTTTAGATATTAGCAAATAAGGCCCAATCTTTCCCCTTGCCCAATCCCTGAATCTCTAAATCCCTAATCCCCCAAAGGTCACACGGACTCTTAACTCCTCTGTTGTTGCGGGTGGCCATGGGCGGCACCGATTGCTTACCATCAGGTAATCCGTCTGCTCTACAACTGACGAAAAATAGCCACACATCATTATTTTTATGACGTACACAATATTTACTCCGCTGGCAAAATCGTGATGTTTCAACAAAATCTTTCATAATTTTTTTTTTTTTATTGGGTCGGCAAATTGGAGTTTGTGCCTGATGGCAAGCCATCGGTGCCGCCCATAGACAACACCAAAGAGTACGTTGTCGGCCTTTTAGAGACAAGGGTTTTGAATATTTAAGGATTGGGAAGGGGAGGGATTGAGCCTCCGGTAACCTCACTCACACGGCGAAACGCAAAGCTGTGGTTATTTCCTAGCCGACCCATTTGTGGCGAAGCTTGGTTTTCACACTGTTGGTTTTAAGTGTGGGAGAGTAATGCTCGGCACGAATGGGTCGGCTCGACCGGAGTGATACCACGGCCTCACAGAAAACCGGCGTGAAATAACCACAGCGTTGTGTTTCGCCGTGTGAGTGAGGTTACCGGAGGCCCAATCCTTCCCCTCCCCCAATCCCTCCCCAATCCTTAAATCTCCAAATCCCTAATCCCTAAAAGGTCGGCAACGCACTCGTTATTCCTCCGTTACGAGTGTCCATGGGCGGCGCTGATTGCTTACCATCAGGTAATCCGTATGCTCGTTTGCCGACCAATACATAAAAAGTATCGAATTTGACTACTTGTCTGTTATCAAATTTGTTTCCTAATACTTGAGTCACACTAACGGGAAATGCCATTCATCGCGATAACGAACGTTTATCGAAGGTGTAATTTGACCACTAAACAAATTATTTTAAGGTATACTTTTCATTGTTTGTTGGCATTTCCTGTTAGTGTGGCCCAAGCATTAAGGAAACAAATTTGATACTAGACAAGTAGTCAAATTCGTTAATAAGGTAGTTTCCAACTAGTCAAATTCAATACTTTTATCCAAATTTTAAAAACGATACTTTTCTAAGAAATTTGTATGAAAAACTGAGCTATGACGTCATAGTATTTTTGAGTCAAATGGCTTACTTATTTCGTAAAAAGTAGCTAAAAAATATCGAAAACTTAGTGTATCGATCGATCGATGAATAAAAGTATAGTTATTTATCAATATTTTTTTTATGTATACGATCGGCAAACGAGCAGACGGATTACCTGATGGTAAGCAATCAGCGCCGCCCATGGACACTCGCAACGGAGTAGTTACGAGTGCGTCGCCGACCTTTTAGGGATTAGGGATTTGGAGATTTAGGCATTGAGGAGGGATTGGGGGAGGGGAAGGATTGGGCCTCCGGTAACCTCACTCTCACGGCGAAAGACAACGCTGTGGTTATTTCACGCCGGTTTTCTGTGAGGCCGTGGTATCACTCCGGTCGAGCCGACCCATTTGTGCCGAAGCATGGCTCTCCCACACTTATTGTATTGAAACGTCGAATTAATTTATTTTTGACCTAGGAAACTACCCAATTTGAGTGTGGGAGAGCCCGCAATAAGTTGCTTAGGAGTCGGTCATTCACTGCTGTGTTAATAAAAATAATCACCTTCAACACGTAGTGGCGCCGTGTTCCTCTTCAATGTGTTTCCGGAACACAGACCTCGAACCGGATTCGAACCCGCACGCACCACAGACTAGGACATCCGCCGCCTCCACCTCCTCCGTATTTAAGTGTACAGGATCTGAAACAAATACATACATACGGGTGAACCTATGGTCTATCAGTTTAGGATTTTTTTTGTCTTTGTAATAAAACGTTGACCCATACTAGGATTTTCTCCTGTGTCGTGGGTGCGGTTACAAACAGGCAATTCCACATGCAAATGACACCCAGACCCGGAACAACAATTTGTTGACTGCATAGAGTTGTTCCGTGCTTTTTTAAATTAACTAAATGTAAACAATCTTGGCGTGTCTTTATTATCTAAAAATTTTATGTAAAAATGTTTACAATCAGGTATTTAGCTAAGTCGATGTTAGCTAATAAACTAAATTTAAATATGTATATGTATGTATTTTATACGAGCTCTTTAATATAGAAAGACATGCCAAGATTGTTTTACCTTTAGTTATATTGAGTTTTTTATTTATATAGCATACAAAAAACATATTAACAAGGGTTACAGAAATCACGTACATCTTTCGGCATAGAAAAAAAATATGAGTAGTGAGGTACAGTTCATATATAAAGATCGCAGCTTGCAGAAAAAATATTGACTTACACTATAAAAAATCATCATTCAAAAAATCTTATATAGAACAATAACACTTTTGTAACAGTAAGTCAATAAGTATTTTTATTTTCACTGTTTGTTCTTTTATAACTCAAGGTAACCTGTTATATTCTTTATTATGTATATTTTAGTAAAATCTAGTGGGGAAATTATTTTATAGTTATTAAAGTTCGCGTGAGCTGGCAAAAGCAGCTAACTTTATCTTTAAAAAAAAAGCTACCTGCTATTTACTTAAAGTCTATCTATCTTTATATATAAAAAAATGTGTGTCTCGTGTTTATCCGCGATGGACTCCTAAACTACTAAACCGATTTTAAATTTGATTTGCATTCCGTGTGCATTTTGATTCAACTTGAAAGATAGGATAGCTTACATCTCAATGTATAGTCACAATATTATTTTGACAAAAACCTTAGCCACAGCAACGCGTGGCTAGGTCTGCTGGTATAATATAAGTATTTTACTTACGGTTCTCTAAATGTTTGTCTTGTACATGCTTCATTAGCTGAAACAGAATAAAAAGTTATTAGCATGAATACAAGTTAAATCAGAATATTTCATAGCTTAACCTTATATCTATACTAATATTATATAGAGGTAAAATTTGTAAGTTTGTATGTAGGGGGTAATCTTTGGATTCGCTGGTCGGATTGCCAAAATTCTTTCAGTGATAGGTAGCTGCAATATCCCTGATTGCTATAGGCTATAAACCATCACGCTACGATCAAATGGAGCCGAGCAGCGGGTGAAGCCTCGCGAGAGAAGCTAGTATGACATATAATTATCGGTCATAGCATGTGTAACTATAACAGCCGGGGTTGCGGGGCAAGCGCAATGAGGCGTAGAGCAGATAGAACGGGGGGGGGGAGGGGGAGGGTTAAATAAGTTAGAGACACTCGCTCCCGCCTCACCCTGGACAGGAGAAGTAATTTGATGATTTTCCGCTCACAAAAGAGTCGTGCAATAACCATTGCGTTGCAGTCTTCAAAGAGCTATTTCTGGCTCTCATTTCCCAATCCCACCAATCCCCAATCCCCTCAATCCCCTCAAGCCCCAATCCCTAAATTCCGAATACCTTTAGCGCTGAGAATGTCTATAGACAGCGCCGATTGCTGACCATCAATTAATCTTCTTGTTTACCGTCCTATCCCATAAAAAAAACTAGGTTTATTTAATTAAAATGATTAAAGATCGAAAGGCAGGTGCAGAATCAGGCTGTACAACGCTATCGGTTGTTTCACACGTTTTCTGGGAGGCCGTGGTATCACTCTGGCGGGATGACCCATTTTTGCCGGAGCTTGGCTTTTCCACTCTTTATTGTACAGTATTAACGATGTTTAGACATAAAATATTGAATAATATTTACCTGTGAATGTGTAGAAGCTCTGTAAGGGCACCGCGCACACTGTAGAGTAACTGCGGCGCCACGTCCTGACCCCGCGCGACCCCGCGTCCCGCCTACTGTATGCTCACGGGCCTAAGGAAAAATATCTAATATAATATGCTACAAATCATTAATACAAAGCTAAATAAAGAGGGACCTAATATCGAACCTTGAGGAACCCCCATTTTTCATCCCAAACCCCTGATATTTATTTCAATATATGATTTCAACATTATAAACAGTGTTGCTAATCCTGTTATAATAGAATTAAACTTAAATAAATAGAATATAATAATATGCTACAAATAATTCATACAAAGCTAAACAAAAGAGGGGACCCAATATCGATCCTTGAGGAACACCAATTCTCACCTCAAACCCTTGTTAATTACAAGGTTTATAAATATGATGTTAGTGTTGCTAAAACTTTAACAATAAAATTAAACTAATTCATTGAAAATAACGACTAACTGCTACGAATTAACTGAGAAAAGACGGTCCGACATCGCAAAAACGAGCACGCTGCTCATTAATATGAGTCCAATTGTAACTTGAAACTATTATTAGTTCGTAAATAATTGTAGTAAAGGTATTTCTTTTTCTTTTTTTGGTTTAATTTTAATTTAATTAAACATAGACATAGAGTTTAAGTAGGTATCGCATTATCCTGTTATTTTTAATATAAATAGTAGCATTATTTCCTTGATATAAAAATAATTATTTACTTATGATTATTTAACAATGTATGATAACAAAAATATCTTTTTACCAACTTTCGCCTTAAACACAGGTTGTCCTAGTTCCTAGTTCAGGCACCCAATATTATGAACTTGGTATAGCTTTAAGCAAAAGTGTATATTCTAGATTATGAGTTTTATTTATTTATTTATTTAAACTAGTAGAGGGGGAGGGGAAGGATTGGGCCTCCGGTAACCTCACTCACAAGGCGAAAGACAACGCTGTGGTTGCTTCATGCCGGTTTTTTGGGAGACTCGTACTCGTCGGCTAGGACTCGTACACATTGGATCTCCCCCTTCCACACAAAAAGATTGTAATTCTAACCTTATGCGCAGACATATCCTTAACAGCATTGCATTTGAAGCTGCAGAGCTTGCAGGAGTAGAGGTACAGCTTGAAGTTGGGGGATGCGAGCAGCTCGTGGGGGGGAGGCAGGTCACTCTTACGCTTGCGGCCGCGACCTCTACTGCGGGAAGACGCTAGGAGGGCTCTGGTAGGGAAAAAGATAAATATCTTTTCACTTTTAAGAACTTGCAAAGAAATCCTATGCATGGAATTGCACGGTTCTTGCTCATCCACCTAATTATATTATTGTCGTGTTTACAGGACACTAAGACAGACGACTACGCAATAAGTATTGTATATTTAATTTAGAGCTGATTTTTCAATGGTTAGATAAAAGTTACCTGGGAAATAATTGGGTAGTTTCCTAGGTCGAAAATAAATTAATTCGACGTTTCAATTCAATAAAATATTGAAAAATAACTATATTTTTATTCATCGATCGATCGATACACTAAGTTTTAGCTAATTATAAAGAAATAAGTAAGCTATTTGACTCTAAAATACTATGACGTCATAACATAACATAAAAGTATTGAATTTGACTAGTTGGAAACTACCGGATTATCAGTGATCGGAGTAGTAGTACATTGAAATGGGTTTATTGATCCGAAATGTATATATATTAATATGGACATTCCTCCGGAATTGGCGGTTTATTAAAAAAAAAACCGTAAAAAATGGCTTATCCATGTTATTCTTTTTGTGTGCATTTATGATACAAGTCCTAAAATTCAATCTACCTACTCCGATCACTAATAATTATACAATCACAATAACTTACTTGGCTTTTTGTAAAGATTTCGCCCTTTCTAATATCTCAGTCGGTGTCAACGGTTTCTGTGGACAGAATTATTGACAATGTTAACCAAATGAAAATAATAATATCAATCTAGACTAACCAGTTGATACAAAAGCCTTATTATCAAACGAATATTATAAATGCGAAAGTTACGATGTTTGTTTTTTGTTACTCAATCACGCCAAAACGGCTGGACGGATCTCGATGACAGCAGTGGCTCAGGCATAGGATACACTCCGAAATAGGACATAGGCTATTTTTTATCAACATACCACGCGAACGAAGACGCGGGCGGAAGCTAGTTATTAATAATATGGACTTACTTTAGGTTCGATTTTCTTCTGTGTAGTGGTGGTCTGTTGTAATGCAGATTTGAGTATAACTAAAGAGTTCTGGCCATCCTCATTCTCCACCACCACATAGGACTCTTGGTTCTCTGAATCTGTAATCATACAAAAAAAAAATGTTAATCCATATAAATAAAAATCAATGCCACTTTTCGTTGTAATGTTTATAACTCAACAATGCTTTTGCTAATTTGGCTAATTTCGGTCTTGGATTATTCGTGGAAGTCCAGGGAGGGTATAAAAGGCCAAAACAAATAGTTATATTTGAGGCGGTACGTAGTTCGCCAGGTCAGCTAGTAGTTAAGTGTGGGAGAGCCATGCTTCAGCACGAATGGGTCGGCTCGACCGGAGTGATACCACGGCCTCACAGAAAACCGGCGTGAAATAACTACAGCGTTGTGTTTCGCCGTGTGAGCGAGGTTACCGGAGGCCCAATCCTTCCCCTCCCCCAATCCCTAAATCTCCAAATCCCTAATCCCTAAAAGGTCGGCAACGCACTCGTAACACCTCCGTTGCGAGTGTCCATGGGCGGCGCTGATTGCTTACCACCAGGTAATCCGTCTGCTCGTTTGCCGACCTATAAAAAAAAACTAAAGCATAAGGACATAATTATAGTTTTTAACAAGCTTTAATTTATCAATTTCTTTTTTATGTAATATTAGATTACTACAAGTGACCAGCCTACTTCTTTTCTGAACAAACAAATAGACAAAAATACAATTTATTATTTTATTTTACCTTCCGTATCGCTAGTCTGCAACACACAGGTGACGGTCGCGTCTGAAGACATCTCCCCGTCAGAGGGCGCCGCGTTCGCCACCAACTGGTAACCCTCCTCGCCATCTTGACATCTTCAACAAATATTGTGTTACTTAGAATGCAATATTTATTCATCATTTTTATTATTCAGAAGTAATTAATATTCGCACGGGTCCAATTATCTCGCTATCACACAAAGGGTCACTTTTTCCTAATAACCCCCTCTATCTATCTTTTCTAATATTTTCTTTAATAAGAACCTTCTGACAATAACAAATACAACAAAAAAAGAATTAGCAAAATTGCTCCAGGCGTTGTTGAGTTATGCGCTTACCAACACATTTTGCGATCCATTTTTATATATAAAAATTAAACACTTCTCTCTATATTTGTATGTCCTAAGGGCGAAACATGACTGAACCTATGTTTTCTTTATATCTTACGTTCATTTTAATATTGTATGTCTCTCTCTTATGTTTAACGAATAAAATTATCTTTATCTTTAGTATAAAATAGACTATTTCTAATTGTAATACTTAGTTATCGAAAAAAAAAAGAGCTTAGATTTCTATTTAGAACATTAAGGGCTGAATTTTCAATAGTGAGATAAAAGTTATCCGGGGAATAATTATGATGCTGTCGCGTCACAATGTTTGTATAAGATAGTGACGGCAACAATTTTATTCCTCAGATAACATTTATTTTACTCAGCCCTAAGACATATAGGTACAAATGTAGTAAAGAAAACCAAACTAACTTAACATTAAATTGACAAAAAACAAGAAAACAAACAACATTAACTAAATACAATTTAATTTTTTTTAAATAAAAATGATTATTTACTTTTTTTTTAAGAATTTCACATACACACATACCCAGACCGGGTTTCGGATATGTAAGGATTGGGAAGTGATGGGAAGAGGGTAGGGGTTGGGTCTCTGGAATGTGATTAATGCTCAATCCCTCTTCGTGTCGCCTTTGCTCAGCAGTGGGCACTTATAGGCTAATTATAACTTGAATCTCTAAGCATTTGACTGCCAACAAAAACTGTTGAAGGCTAACCCTCCGCTAGCGTCGGACAGCATTGTCCGACATGGCAGTCTAACAACATTATATTTACGCGGAAAATTATAATTTGAATACCTTGGTAGGCTTGACGTTTCGACCCGGTTGCACAGGTCGTGGTCACAAGCAGACTGAAGACGCGAGGTCACAGCTCCCTGCATTCGGACTCCTCCCTGCATGCCTGTGACCTCGCGTCTTCAGTCTGCTTGTGACCACGACCTGTGCAACCGGGTCGAAACGTCAAGCCTACCAAGGTATTCAAATTATAATTTTCCGCGTTAATACCCGCGTAAATATAATGTTGTTAAGATGAAACGCGAAAGCTTAAAAGTTAGTATGGCGGTCTAAGTTTTAACAGACATACCTGACCAGGGTCAGATTCAGCAAGTCTAAGTGCACCAGCCCCTTCCCGCTAGGGTCCAGCACTTGCATGTACTTGGATTCGTGATCCTCTCCATCCGTCAGATCAGGCAGAATGCTACCCTGTAAGAAAATAACACAAGGTTGTAGAGAACCAATCAGACACACTATTTTTTGATAGTAGTGAGCATGCAGGCAGGGTTTTTGCAAAAATTTTTTTGTGGAATATCATGGTGTTTAATGAGACTATGTATTCGTTCGCAATACATCACACAAAATCAATTGACCACACGCAAACTTTATTATCGCAAATTATTTTTAGTTTTACAGATACAGAGGAAATTTTAATCACGGTCACATTAAGTATACTTATTTATAAAAAAAAAGACTTCAGACATTCATATATTGCGTAAAAAAATATCTGAAAAGGTTCGTGGGCATGTTTGTTGTACCCTTGTTACATTACAAACATAAAATTTTCACATGCATATAACTCATCATCCCACACCTGCCACATATGCTAAAGCCTTCCTCGATAAATGTACTAATAACACAAAAACAAACAGAATTATTCAATGAATGAAATATTTGTATGTACTTGTACATTATTTGCAGGCCATAACGGAGAACTTTGCTATAAATAATTGAACACCTATTGTATATTTTCTAACCCATGTTTGCAAACAAAATAAATTAATTGATTTGATTTGATTTCATTCAATTCGAACCAGTAGTTCTGGAGATAAGCACGTTCAAACAAACAAACTCTCCTTTCTTCATAATATTATAGTATAGTATAAAAAAAAAAGTTGAACCAAAATACTTAATAGCTACTAGGTACCACATGCAACCCAAAACCCATAGAAAAAAAAACATAAAAAATGGTGTACATTAAACCTGTAGATTTACCCGATCTTTGTCGAATGGCGTAACCTCGACTATTTGTAACTGACCTGAAATTCAAAAAATAAAAATTAAACATAATATTACAAAAAATTTAATAAGTAATGTTTATAATAGGTCTTTACCTATGAAATTGCCGTTTTGCATGAAAAAGTTTAAACGAATCTTTTTATTTGAAATGCGATGAAAATGTAACACTAGTCAATATACAAGCTACTTTTGGAAAAAGAATCCCATGTTTTTAAAACAAAATTAATTAGCCTTAGCCTTACAAAAACTAGGTATTTTGATTTGAAATGGCCAGTACTGCAGAACGGCAATTTCATAGGTAAAGACCTATTATAATAACTTTTTTTTTTAACCACCTACTCTTTATACCCGCTGCTCGGTTCCTACAGACTGTAGCCTGACTGACTGTAGTGATGTTATATAGCCTATAGCCTTCTTCGACATATGTACAAAAAAAACACGAAAATAATTATTCAAATTGTGTAGTAATAATAATTATGCAGTAATTGTGGAGATTAGCGCGTTCAAACAAATAAAGAAACTCTACAATTTTATAATAGTACTGATTCGAATTGAAAAAATCGAGGAAAGCTTTAGGCTATAAAACATTACACTACGATCTATAGGAGCCCGGCTGCGGGTGAAACCGCGCGAGAGTAGGTAGTTTTAAGTTATAGGTTTTTGACCAGTTTCAATTTCGTATAATTTGGATGGTTTTGGTGTAATTTTAATAAAAATCTGTCATAGATGTTGGTTAGTACCTCATATTAAGTAAAAAAAAATAGATAGATAGACAAAGAGGATAGGACTGTCCTGGTCCGAAATTAAACACATAGCCCAAGATAGGTCCCAATGGAAAAATACTGTGGACGCCCTCTTTCCCACCTAGGGCACATAGGAACTTAAGTAAGTAAGTACTAATGGAAAATATAGACCATGTAGATTAATTTGGCATATTCATCGACCAAACTTAAGTTGGATCCTTTCTGCATAACTACATCCATAGGATGATTTGCTTGCTATTTGAGGTTTTTGTGGAATATCACATATTTTAGTTTACTTAGTGTAATATATACTGACCATCTTTATACTCTGCAGACAGGATCTGTCCATCAGAGGTCTCCACAGTAACCTCCTCATCAGACATTGTAGATTAGATCTGAAAAATATTTATAAAATGTCATTTTTAAAGAGAACATTCTTATTTAAGTGTGGGAGAGCCATGCTTCGGCACAAATGGGTTGGCTCAACGGGAGTAATACCACAGCCTCACAGAAAACTAGTGTGAAACAACCACAGCATTGTGTTTCGCCGAGTGAGTGAGGTCACCAGAGGCCTAATCCCTATTTAGCATTTCTAGCACACCACCCTTTCTTTGCATGATTTGTACTACTAGTACTAGTATCAGTCATTTGTTTTATAAGCCAACCACTAAAGGACCAAAAGGCTTGCTACTTCCCGCTTTCACCCTCAAAGTTTTCTTTTATAAGAATCTTTTAATACCTGATTTTAGATGGATACCTAAGGATGACCATACCCAAAAAATAGCATAAAAGGAACAGAATGGGTAGAAGGGAAATTGGTATCCATTTTTATATATTAACACCCAGTTTCTGAAAGGCTTGTCAACGCTAAAATTAACTTATCTCCTGTTAGATCTCTTGTCAAGTCATCTGATTGGTTGTTGATAATTTAGTCAACCAATCAGATGACTTGACAAGACATTAAATTGATTTTAACATTGATCGGCCTTTCGGAAACCGTGTTATAGCTACTAATATGATAACCATCAAGGTAATTTAACCTACACCAAAATGCACAAACACACTAGGTACTTACACTTTTTTATGGATGGAAAAAGGCTACCCACTGACTGAAAATCATTCTGACTTCATGTGCCCTGGGTGGCCAGGATTGTCAAAGCTCATAATGACTATAAACCATTAGGCTCATTCTCAAGCTAAGGATCCTGCATAAATACGCTTGTAACCTACCCGCGACCCCGATCAATTAATAATACATGTAATAGGTATGTTGTAGATACTTAATTATCATCTTTTAAGTAAACAAGGCCTTCAAATTATATATCAGAATATAAAAATGCTGATAGTAACTTTTCGTGATGGCTTGGTGCACGGTATTTTCCGATATCAAGAAGAACGTTATCTCTACAAGTGGCCATGGAACTACATCCAACATATTACACATTGCTAAAAAATATTTAAGCGTAAATAACTAACTTATTTGCAAACCTAAATAAATATATAATAATAAACAAAATAAATGTCAATCAAGGTTTGTCAAAAATTCTTGCAACACCAAAATCATTGTTGCCGTGTTTCTTTAATGGCGATCGACTTTTTAATTTTATTATTGCAACAATCAATACTCACGTTTAATGGCAACAATAAGGATTTTCAACACTCAAAATATGGACCACAAGACGAATATCACGCTTAAATTTGTAAAATAACTTCAATTAGTAAGAGAAAATGGCGACGCCAAGGTATAATATTACTTTTTATTCGTAAATTACGAGCTAAAGACGTTTCGGCGTTTCACGAGAGTTGCCAGTGTAAATTTTATTTTACCCATCTTTTTCTTTAAATATCATCAGAAATTAAGTTGTTACTTTTAATTTCCTTTTTGTTTTTATAAGTTTAAGGAATAATTATACGTTATAGTTAAATTTGTTAAAGATAGGAAAAAAAAGATTTTAAGAATCTTAGCAAAATCCCATTTTCCAAAAAAAAATAAGGTTATTGCGCCATTATGACGTGAGACCTTAAAAATTAAAATATAGTTTTAAATCAGACGAGATCATTATTTTATTTTTATTTTTGTATGACTGCTATGCAACTTCACATGTTACCCTGCAGTTCTTCTCTCAAATTAATGTTCTACGCTTATCATGTTGTCTCTTTCTTTTATTCATGATGACGTGACGTTGCGTTGTAGAGTCGGATTGTAAAGATGAAAAAGGTAAACAGATGAGATCACACAGCCAATCCGTAACAGGTAGAGCCGAAGTGAAAGAGAATGTTCTGTCTTCTTCGCTCTTGTACGACTATCATATGAATATTTACAAAATTAGAACTTGAAATAAGAGCAATATCAAGAACTCTACATCAAAATAAAAAATGTGATGTTAAAATTTATTCAATTTTAAACAAGTTTCGCTAAGAAACTGTATACTTATAATGGTCAGTTTTAGAGATAAAAATTGGTGAAATTGAAATCCTAAATCGCGCTATCAAAGTTTTCACGCGTATTGGAAGGCGAGCGTTATTTTAGCTTTATGTAGACGGGAGGTCCGTAGCTACTACGTAAGCCGGTGCTGACGAGGAACCGGTCTAATACCTCGTTACCCATATGTTGAAGCGCAAGCAATCATGTAATGGTAATATAAAAATGTCTAATATGTCAAGAAAAATGATAAAGAGAGACTAGGTCTCATCCACACGATAGTAGCTGATTTGACTTCCTTTTTGTATCCCATAAAAATATTATTTATAAAAAAAAAATGTTTTCATTTTCATCATCCATTGTGTATGTTTTGTTTGATTTTTTTTTTCGTAATTTTTCAACCAGGTTGAATGACTCTACCAACTTTTAACTCTACCGTCTCACAGAGGATTGTCTCAATCAACCACCCGATTAATTGCCTAATTTAATTATAAATACCTACTGAACAAAAACTTAATATTCTAATCGGAAACCCCTACCTAGGCTAATAAAAAGTCCTTTGAAACACGATATTCATCGGTCAATAACCTCTCTTGACATTGCCGGTCAATGACACATAAATTGAGGATCGTGACAGCAAAAATCAAAACAAAAACATACGATTTTCTTATCAGATCTGTTAAATCCATGATTCACTTCTGTTTTGTTAGAGTCGTGTTATTTGAAAGCCGAATTGACTCTACATTAATGTTGGCCTAATTGTGTGAAGTTAATGTGAAAATATTGTTGTTATCTCTTTTCACTAATTTTATGCCATTTTTTGTCTTTAGAATCGCATTCAAAACGTTCAGTTATTTATCCTAAACATTTTGTTAACAAGTTGTTTTTAAACAGTATGAATAAATGAAATACCTGCAGTTGGAATGCGACTTAGGACGAGTAGAACTCTCATCAGATTTTTTTATGACTTAAGAGGAGCGTCAAGACCGTCTTATATGAAAAAGAAATTGATCCAATAAGTAACTAAAGCTAAACAAGAAAGGTAAAATCGATATTAGAATTTTAAATCACAAAAAGGAAGTCAAAGACGCTACTTCGGTGTATGTGAGAAGGACTCTCGTTTTTCATTGAAACAGAATGATTGAACATTATTCTTTAAACATTTTATATTAAACCCATACATGACGACTATACAGACGACATATTCAGATGGCGGAGGCTTAGACCGGCCCTCCGCCACGACCGGTTACCCGAGTAGCAATGGACCTCCCGACTGTAGTGCAGGGCGTTTTATATTTAAGCAAACTCGAGTGTAAACTTCAATAGCGTGATGCAGGCCGAGCCACCTGATTGGTTGGTCGGTATGACGCAGCTTTGTCGAGGATCAGATATTAAGAGTCCAAGGGAGAAAGTTAGGTAACCCTGGTTTTTGTAGAAGGATGAAAATTTCATTCTAATTGGACAGAATCAAAATATTACTTAGCAACTCCATTGCAAACTGGGGTCATATTGTATTCCAAATGCAGTGTTTTAATCAAAAAACCCATGTTTTCTATGGAAAAAAGTGTTGCAATTACTCGTATCATTTTTATATAAGTAAACATTTTCATGGCCTTTATAGTGTTACCCAACACACATTTAACCAAATATAAAGCCAAAAACAGGCTACTGCATAGTCTGTATATTTTATTACCAAGGGGCTTCCTAAAGAGGTCAATGACATGACTGCAGGAGCCAGAACGTCCGCTCGTTGTGCAAGTCATTATTCACTAGTGAATTCGTTCGTGATTTTTTTATGCAACTAAACGCTTGTATTACCTACATATTTCCTGGAATTAGGTTACCTTAATTAGTCGCTGTATTTGAATACAACGTTGATTTTGTTCAATCTTTAATTCTTTTTCCAATGCCTTTCCTTTTGTCCTTATTTGCAGAATTTGACTGCTATACATATTCAAGTCCATATGATCTTGGTAATTTTTAACACTTTGTAAAAACAAATTAATCAAGAGATTGTGTTTTTTAAATGATTTATAATGTCCAATAAATAATTTAATTCCGGTATACTAATAGATTGGAAATAATGACTGAGATTAATAATGAATCTTTTAATCTGATCTTATTTTGAACACTAATCCAAAGATTTTAAATTGAGATCGGTTCCGACCGTAAACAAGGATTTCTAACGTACGCAGTTTGTTACTGAGACGGATGACGTAAAGCGGGCTGGAATTGGCTATTTGAACGATGTGAAAATATGTACAATACAATTTATTTAAAAACTATTGCTTAGAGGTGAATAAACAATTTGCAGTCTTTTTTAAACCACAAATGAATATTCAGTGTATTTAAAATTTTTTAGTTTCCATTTAATGAAGTTGAACGTAACATCATATACAATACGCATATAAACAATATTGGCTTTAGGATTGGTCGTATGGTTACGGTACTATCCTTGATGTCTATGTAGGGTGAAACAGCTTCGTGACGTCATTTTATCGACGTTAGTGCCACCTAGCGTTACAGCTCGAAATTCAATCTTAATTCAAAATATAGGTGGCACTTGTCATGTTCTAAACTACATAATAATATATTTCACAAAACGTTGACAAAGCCAATTGGTCGCTATACGTCACACCTCTGCGTAGTTGCAATGCAGTACTAAGTACTTACACCTACACTCAAGCAATATAAACAGCTACGTTTTGAACTCTCATATGCATTTGATGTATGATTCCTCATCGCGAATTTTTGATCCCATTTATTTGGAAAGTTCTTATGCAATTTTGGGTTTGGCGTCATTATTTTTTATAATTGTGGCTTAAGATGTAGCACTGACCTATTAGCAAGAGAGGGTGGAGACGTTTCGCCTCAAGTTCAGCTGATTATATTTTTAGTCTTTACAATAAATCGTAAGCTGGTCATGCAATACTAATTGTAAGTTTTTGTGCAACGAGCCCGAACTAATGAATGAAAGAAATCCAGATAGCTGTGCATAGAACACAGCATCGCTATAATTAATATCAATAGTGTATGCACTTCCATTCTAACTTACACCTTACATTGTTCTTACAACCAATTCTATAAATAGCTTGGCAAGATTAGCAGTAGCACATAAATCATCGCTATGTAGACTGAATGAAACAATGTAAGCATTATCTACACGTGTCTAGTTAATTATTCAAATTCTTTAAGATGTTCTCCGTAGTATTACTCAATCTTGCAATTTGAACTCTTTTAACCTCTTTTCAATCAATGAACTTAGCCTGCTAATTATATCAAACTTTATCTTTCATATCTTAGTAGAAGTAAGTTCTCGAATTATAGATAAAATATTATCATCAATAGACCACTCGTTACTTTCTGCTCCTGAACTGAGTTGCATGTAAACCGTTTGCGATTACAGCCATCTTGACGATTGATAGAAGAATTCAAGTCAATACAATTTTTCACTGATAAACATAAAATTTCCAAGTTCCAAGTGAACTGTCAAATTTTAATGCAAATAGTGGACATAGCAACTCAAATGTTTGTTTTACACGAACCGCACCAGTGCCTAATGCATCTTCCGGCAAATAGAATGAAGACACGCATGCGTGCTTCGTCGATGCGCTCTATTAACTTTTTTTAAAGTCAGGACTATTTCGTTATAAATATTCAGTATTTAGTAAAATTAACGGGTACTGGCCAATTTGGAAGTTATTGGTCACAAAATGATGATGATGACAAAACGGATACTTTTACGTCTTCATAAAGCAAGTTTGATTTTTATTTAAAATGAAGACTTTCGTTGATTACAACATTAATTTAGTTCTCTACAGAAGTGACAAATAGCTAGTAGGTACAAGCCACAGTCGAATTTCGAAAATTGAACGAGCATTAAAATACTTTGTTTATCCAAGAATACATATACGAGTAACTTATGAAACCTTCAATAGATTAACTTCTGAATTCAAAAAGGCGGTTAGAACATCACCATGCACCGACTGTAAAGATAGTATTATTATAATCAAATTCTTTCAACTCTACCTCACAATAAACGACTCTACATTCGCAGTACCTAAGTGAAGTAAGTATGCAACTTGACCTTAACGTGCTTCATTCATAAAACCGGATTGCCACCCCCCTTCTACTGGATAGCACAGAGTAGTTTAATGAAGAGACTTTGCTTTTGTTTCATACAGATGTGTATTACATTAATGACGCTGGTCATAAAATCGATCTCCATTAATACTAACTACAAATCACATAATTTTCTACACATATTGCAGAGCTAAAATAAGCAGTTCTAATTATACATTTCATAATTTGCTCCCAAAAAGCTTTTAATGGATCTGTTTCTAATACCTAACATTATCTGCAAATAATCACTGCTTCATTGAACAACCTTAATGACCTGAAGAGAAAATATTTTGCTGAAATCTCTGAATTCTAGATTACTCTACAGTACTGAATCGCGGTATCGAAGTTTTCACAGCACTTGGCACATGAGCGACGGTTTCGCATGTACCAACAGGGAGTCCGGTGCCACGAGGTAAAGTGGTCCTGTGCATCCACTTCAATCAAGTGCACGGCACAATAATATTCAGACAGACACGATCTCAGTCGCTAAAATATAACTTCAAGATTTGCCATTCTGTCGACTAGAAGAAATTGCTAGACTGTATTTGGAATACCCGCGACTCAGTAGAATGACGAATGCTTGAACTTGACAATGAATGCTTACAGCACCTATGTGGTTAATGTGACTCCTTTTTGGTGCTTTTTTGATAATTTTTGATTGTTAATTAGATTTTTGTTTAATTTTATGTTCAAGCTGAGTTAAAACTTATTATCGACGTTAGATAGTCATTATGTGCAATAGGTATTCATTGAATTTTGACATCCTATCACATTGCTTGCAACAGCTTCTAATTAGAATCTTTAATAATTTCCATTCTAAAAATATTTTATTTACTAAAACTGAAATCGGCGGCTACTCTAGCGACATCTGTTGCATCATCCTAGACTGAAAATATTCAGTGAGAATGGGACGGTACGTCGGTCTACTTATTATACCAAGTTTAAGTAACTAAGCTACAACTTATTTCTCTTATGAGAATCAGAGGGCGCTTATTGGTTCAGAACATTTTAAATCCAATTTACAGTAACTTGTAATTTTTTAAACTACTTGTTATAACCAAAAAATGTTTCAACGTCAAAACTAAGTTGAAAATTCAACTTTTAAAAATCTCCCTAAAAACAGATTTTTCCTATGCTAATGACAACCCCAAAATAAGGGATGTACTGCGCAAGTCAAATACCTGTCAAATCCGCTTTGTCAAATATCAGCAACGCGACAACAAATCTTTGAAAATGATTAAATATTAATTGAAGGCGTGTATTTTAATATTATTTTACTATAAAAATATTTAACAATATTAATTTAAAACACATTTTCAATAAAAGTATTTATCTTGAGGTAAGTTGATCGTATTATTAATTTTTTATGCAGTTTAGTTACTATATTTTCTTGGTATAGTTTTTAGATTATATAATTTAGAAATCAAGTTTAAAATATTATTTTATTCATTTAAAACTGTCAAATATTAACACTAGGATTCTGTAAATGGAAAAATGTATTTAAATGTACCTGTTATTCATTTTTTAAATGACCTTGACTGCAGATGTAAAATGGAATGATAATATATTTTTTTTAATTCATTTTTCGTTTCTCACGTTGAACACTTGAATAAATAACTCGAAACACATTGGCTAATTTAAATATGAATTAATAATATTACTCAGCATTTTTAGTTTGAATAAAAATAATAGATTTTTTTAAAGTACTTTTTATTTTATTACAGAAATTAAATATGGCTACGAGTGGTTCCGGTGCGGTGTTCTTTTTAGGCACGCGAGCGCATTATCAGGTAAAAATATTAAAACCGGCCAAGTGCGAGTCGGACTCGCGTTTTTTTTTTAAATCACGATTTATACATATATGGGAACCTGGCCCCCCTTAAGAACCTATTAATTGTATTTAGTTTTTCCATAATATTGTTGTTATACCGACAACAAACTAAATTTCAGTTTGGCGACTGACAAACGAACAGATAGCGGGGTCGTAATAAAAAGATTCGCGTTTTAAAGTGAACCCAGTAAATGAATAATTACATACCTAGCTGGTGTTTTGGGGCAAGCGCAGTAAGGTACCGTGGCTCCGGCCCAAAGCAGGAAAAAGAACAGGGTGGCTTTTAGTCAGGAATAGTTTAACACTTCCTCTTGCCCCACCCTGGGCGAGAGAAGACGAATTTCCCCAATAATGACCAATTATGCTCTAGATAAATTTAAAAATGATTAAATAAAAAAAACGTTGACTATAGAGTTTCGTGCCCGTTCTTCTCCATTCAAGTCTACACTTTCGGACGAGCTTCACTGACGACCGACCGATTGATTATTCGCTCTAATATTCCATTTTGACTTTTTAAAAGTACCATCGCGTAGTTTAGTTGGAACAAATAATTTTGACTTTAGAAGGATTATTTTCTCATGAAGGATGTTAAACAATCCGCTCTGTTCATAGACATTCTCAATGTTAGGAAAAATCTGAATAAATCCATCACGCTCCTGCTTACTACCTAAAGTTGCGGATGGCATGCATGGCGTCTTAAATAACGAACCGCGGCCCCGGCCCAGAACAGGAAAAGGAACAGGGAGGTTTTTAGTCAGTAAGAATCTTATACTCCCTCTCGCCTCACTCAGGGCGGGAGAACTCATTTGATGATGTACCCCTCATAAAAAAGACAAGGATCTGATATTTTTTATGTAATACCTATTTCCATGAAAATCCAGTAGGTAGGTATACCTACCAGGAGTATGAAATCTTAATCTGTGACGCCCCTCCGCAAGAAATCCTGCGCCGCTAGCGCAATAATTTACCGCGGCCCAGTAAGGAACGGGGAGGTTTTTAGTAAGAGTCTGACACTCTCTCTCGCCTTACCCTGAGCGGGAGAAGTCGTTGAATCATTTTCTCCCCTCCGTCAGTTAACTCCCTAAACCAGTAGACTGTATGACTGACTGAACACTGTATTTAATTGAACATATGAATTTATTTTTACAAAGAGGCCATAAAACGGTACTTTAAAAAAAAACTAAGAAGATGAAGCCGATATTTCCTATCTGACTACTCTGAGAAGAAATGCCGAAACAAACTCAGAAGTAGGTCTCATTATCTGGGCTAGAAAATATAGTCTCTGTATTCTTTATAAATCAATAATTATGATCTCTCTTTTCAAGTCCAGACGATTTAAGTATAATATAGTTTGAGTGAACCAAGTTCATTCTGTAGTGGTCTTTTGCCGAAAGAGATTGTCGTGCATGTAACCATACGGCTAATATTTAACTGATCTTTTAATACATATCTAATTATTCTAGGTACTAAACCAACCCGAATCTCAGTACGACGCGGAGAATGGCAACACTTCAACTGAGACCATATACCAGAACCCGTCCGTCCAAGAGTTGTGGCCGGAACAGAAGCGGGATGACAATGAGAGATGGGGTTACTGCGAACAGGAAGTCAATTGTAAGCAGTCACTACATGTAACACACACGAACTTATGAAATAGCATGACGATACCTTAACTGGATAACCAGCCAACTGCACATTTGACAAAAAGAATAATATTATAGGTACTTATAATACACTAGCTACTCTCGCGGGTTTCACTCGCTGCTTGGCTCAATTTGATCATAGTGTGATGTTTTATAGCCTATAGCACTAAGGAACATTGTAGCTATCTATCAGTGAAAGAATTTTGGAAATCCGACCAGCGGTTCCAAAGATTACCCCCTACATACAAACTTATAAACTTACCAATTTTAGCAATAAGTATTGTTTTACTCGTTCGATCGTTCACAGACCTATCCGGTCTGCAAAGCAGACCAATTACGTGATGTTTTTTTATGTAATAGGTCGGCAAACGAGCAGACGTATTACCTGATGGTAAGCAATCAGCGCCGCCCATGGACACCTGCAGCAATGGAGGCGTAACGAGTGTGTTGTCGACTTTTTGGGATCAGAGATTTGGAGATTTTGGGATTGGGGAAGGATTGGGTCTCCGGTAACCTAACTCACACGGACGAAACACAACGCTGTGGTTGTTTCACGCCGGTTTTTTTGTGAGGCCGTGGTATCACTCCGGTCGATGCTACAAAAAATCTTAGCAACTATTCAAACAACACAAGAAATCAACAATAATTTATTTATGTACAATTAAACTATACTCATCTCTTTCACTTCTACCAGTGTCAGATGAGAGGGAGAGATCGGACAGCTTACTGCGCTCGCGCCGCCGACAGAGTACAGCGGCTCTGTGCGAAGGAGATGACATGAAACCCGCACTACTCAACTCTGTGGGCAACAGGTGATTTTGTGTTTTATTTTATTGACTGCACGGTTGGCGCGGTTGCTGGGCAACTGGCTGCTGTGCAACGTGTCGCGGGTTCGGTTCCCGCACGGAACAACACTTTGTGTGTTCCACAAATTGTTGTTCCGGGTATGGGTGTGTTGTGTATGTGAAATTCTATGTTTGTAAACGCCCCTACAACACAGAAGAAAATCCTAAAGGGACAACGAATTTGTTTTTTTTTTATATTTTATGGAAAGTATGGTTCAAGGCACTCCGGTAACCTCACTTACACGGCGAAACACAATGCTGTCGTTGCTTCACGCCGGTTTTCCGACAATGGTATCACTCCGGTCGAGCTAACCCATTCGTGCCAAAGCAGGGCTCTCCTACACGCATCCATAGATCCATACCTATAAACTGTCGCGTTTATAATATACTAACTTCCGCCTGCGACTTCGGTACCTATGTTGATAAAAAGCAACCTAACCTATGTAATAGCCTATGTAATAATAAGGGGTATCACCTATTCAATTTCAACCAAATTGGCCGTTAATTTTTGTATAAAAGAATAACAGACATACATACATTCTCAGAAACTTTCACGTCTAGACTAATATTATAAACGCGAAAGTAACTCTGTCTGTCTGTCTTTTCTTCACGCCTAAACTACTGAACCGATTTCTGTGAAATTTAGCACAGACATAGTTGGGGAACTCGAGAAAGGACATAGGATAGTTTTTATACCAAAAATCTGCAGGAAGTCACTGTTGCTCGCAAACGGAGTCGCGGGCAAAAGCTAGTTTATAATATATTATAAGCGGGGTAGTAGATATACGTACCTGGTAGTACTTAAAGTCTTTTCTACTTCGACAGTGGCCCGACAAAATGTCCAAAAGGCCGCGGTACCCTTCTGACGCTGCTCTGGTCTCTGGCCCGACGCAAGCGACGAGGCATCACCAACGACGAACTCTACTTGCGGCACATCGACAGCGCACTTACTAACAACTGCACTTACAGGGAGAGCTGTCGGTGTTTGGAGTGCCAGGTAAGTCGAAAATATGAAATACCTACTAGGTAGGTTCAGATAAAAATAAGACTATATTTTAATCCAGGTGATCACCTATCTGAAATTCTGAAGGAACTATCCTCCTTACGCCCAAGCTGTCGCAATAGGCAACATTCCGGCCATCGGGGATCGAGAGACGATCTCCGGCCACCGTAAGTGCGGGACTGTGGACGGCGAGTACCTAAGGGTAACTCGCCGTCCGACCGAAACCAGACCCAAGCGTTCCGCGCGCGCCACAAAGAGCCAATACACCACCACAGACGGAGCCCTATAGGGCTGATCATTAGCCGCGGTTGCGGGGCAAACGTAATGCGGCTACGCCCTATTCGGGAGAAGTCATTTGATGATTTAACCCTCACACAAAAAAGGGTTACATTTATCTACATAACTCAACCAATTCATGACCACCATCCGTTATTGCGTGTACAAAAATACGTCCATACATTATCAAAAACTTTTACGTTTATAATATTAGTAGGATGGTAGGATCAGTAGGATAGTAGGATTAGTAGGATGGTAGGATCAGTACAGTAGGATAGTAGGAATTAGGACTCTGACTTGAAAAACTTCATAATGTAACCAAGTCTTCAGCCAGGGCTGCGAGGGCGCAATAACTTACCACGGCGTCGGCCTATAGCAGGAGAAGCAACGGGGGTTTAGTCAGTAAGAGTTTGACACTCCCTCTCGCTTCACCCAGAAAGATTGTTTGAATGAAATTTCTCCTCAAAAAGCGGTACTTAGTCGGTACATTATCACGCTTAGTTACGTTAGTAAGCCGATAATAGAAACAACACGATTACTACCTACTTAAAACCAGTACGGACAAGAATATTAACTGTTAGGTAGGTATTACGATAGTCAACGACGTAATCGTCGTGGTGAAGGTTCGAAACCTGGCAAAAAGTACATTTTTTTTATGGTATAAGTCGGCAAACGAGCAGACGGATTACCTGATGGTAATCAATCGGCGCCGCCCATGGACACCCGCAACACCAAAGGAGTTACGAGTGCGTTGCCGGCCTTTTGGGGATAGGGGTTGGGGATATAAGGATCGGGAAGGGATAGGGGAGGGGGAGGGATTGGGCCTCCGGTAACCTCACTCACACGGCGAAACAACGCTGTGGGATGTTTCACGCCGGTATTCTGTTAGGCCGTGGTATCACTCCGGTCGAGCCGACCCATTCGTGCCGAAGCTTGGCTCTCCCACACTTAAACCAATGTGACTTTTTCCGAGTTACATGTACTTTCTATGATTATTTAGACACCACTGACATACGGTGGAGGAAAACATCGTGAGGAAACCTGGATTTATAAGTTTCTAATCGCCAATCCGCCTTGAGCAAGCGTGGTGATTAATGCTCAAACCTTCTCCGTACGAGATGAAGCCCTTGCGCAGCAGTGGGCACTTATAGGCTGATGACGAGGTTCTTCGATAGACTTGACTACCTCTATCATAAAGTATGTCAGTAGCTACGTAAGTAGTTGTAAATTTGCATACATTTACATAAAAGTGTACATATATAATGTACTAGCTATAACTGTCACGCGGCTTTACCCGCTGCTCGACTCATTTTGGTCGTAGGGATAGTAGATGTTTTATAGCAATACTTAGGAACATTGTAGATGTCTATCAGCGTCATAATGCGGCCAGCGGCTCATAAGATTACTCCCTACATATGGGGGCACGGCAGAGCCTCGCCAAGTCCGACGAAGCAAGCACTGCCGTACTATGCTTTACTGGAATAATTTCGCCGCATTTTCAGGCCCATATTTGAGAACCTCTGGATAAAACCATAACGCAGAAATTTTGGTCTTCAAAATTTCAATTCTACAGGTCATTTAGTTTCGAAGTTAAGCGAGAGGAGGGAAGAGGGTATTACTAAGGGTATACCTATCTACAAACCAAATTTCAACTAAATCGGTCGAGCCGTTTTTGCGTTAAAAAATAACAAACATACATACCTACATAAATACATCCTTACAAACTTTCACATTATTTTTTAAATTATACGAGCAGACGGATTATCTGATGGTAAGCAATCAGCGCCGCCCATGGAGGGTGTCCATCCAACAACAGAGGAGTTTTGAGTTCGTCACTAACCTTTTGGGGATTAGGGATTAGGAGATTTTAGGGGGGAGGAGAAGGATTGGGTCTCCGGTAACCACACTCACACGGCGAAACACAACGCTGTGGTTGTTTCACGCCGGTTTTGTGTGAGGCCGTGGTATCACTGCGGTAGAGCCCCGACCCATTCGTGCCGAAGCATGGCTCTCAAACATTTAGAATTTATAATATTAGTAGGATTACTAGGAAAGTCAGATAGAAAGTCAAGTAGCTTAATGGTTTTGATAGCATTTCTTTATTTCTTAGATATATTTATAATATTGCTTTATCGTCCATCAGTACATAATGTCAATAAAAAATTGATTATATATTTACAATATGAATGCATTTCTGATGATGTAGGCACGAATTTAGATTCTCTTGTCGTATGTTTAAAGCATTTTTTTCAATGTTAATATATTCTATGTAATACTTTTTGAAACAGGGTTTCTGAAACTTTTTTTAACATTTATATAATAACATTGGCTTTAACAAATTTTGGCTGGATGGAGAATACTAGCGACCTGAAATTTCTTCACTATTTAATAGATGTTATTATCCATATTAACCTTCCTCTTCAATCACTTTCTACTAAAAAACCCGAATCAAAATCTGGTGCGTAATTTTAAAGATTTAAGCGTACATAACTAGTAGTACGGACTTTGTTTTATACATGTTTTGATAATAAAATCTAGAGTCCATTTCCGATTAAATTGTAAGTTTTTCAGAAACCCTGTGTCAAAAAAACAGCTCACACATTTGCGACGAGTCAAAATTTTGTTTTTGTTTTTTAAATCTATCTAACATTTTTTTATACATAGCAAAATATATTATTTTTTTATATATAATTTGGAAGCTTGTACACTTATATAACAATCAAAAATTGTTTTACATAAGGGGTGAGTTAAATTATATTTAAACAAAATTCTTAGTTACAGTTTGTCCAATCAATTCTGAGCTCTATTTCTATGATTTAAGAGATGTGTTAAAAGTAAAAGTTATGTTTGCATTACCATTTGTTTATTGCAGTAAATAGTTATCTTATGTCAAGGGATTAGAAGTCATAATAGCTTAATGAATCTGCTAAAAGAATTTTGTGATAAATATCTCACATTTTGCGACAAATCACACCCACGTAAAAACTAAATAACATTCGAAGTAAAAAATCGCACGACTAAGTCGCTAATTTGCAAGCAGAAAAACTGTTTCCAATAAAATTTACAAAAAAACAAAAATATTGATTTAAAGCCAATGCGTAAAAAGATTTTTAATTCACAAACTTATCGATGTCATATTGTAATGTGTCCGTTATATCAGTTTGCACTTCGTCAACCGTCTTCTTGCGTTCCTCTAACCTTAAACATTTAAGACATTTCTGCCCTTTCCGTAACCAACAACCTCTATGATACATAGAATTGCACTTATCACACATCAAAGCCCCACTGTCAAATGGATATAACACCTCATTATTCTTACATACTTCACAGAGGTACCCCTTACCGGAACAAAGATCACAGCTCGTTATATGTGACCTACACACTTCCGTTAGCTCCGTTAACTGTGTCTCTAAAGACCCATCGTTAATAGCTTGCAAGTGACTCATACTGTACTTCTTGTTGACGTCCCCAAGCTGCACGAATAATGGTGATAATAAGTTCGTTCCTTCCGCACAAGCGCAGAGGTAACGTCGCATCCATTCTAAATCTTTCCTCATCTTGTGCACCCATTCTAATTCCGCTATGAAGTTGAATAGCCTGGGGTTTATCCTTTCTATGTCTATATATGGCCTGGACCACGATAAATTCAGCATTTGGTATGCTATTCGTGACACATACCGTTTCTCCCAATCCCAATTATGTATCACTCGTGCAGGTACTGCAGATAAATCGTTCCAATGACACGTAGCGCAGAAGTATAAGCCTGTATAGTCACATAATCGTGGTTCATTCCACATGTCCTTGAAGGTTAATGCTGTTTGGCACTCTGCACACTTGTAGTCTTGTGCTGCTAGGCCTTTTTCGGGACATATACTCATTTCGAAGCTCCCTTTCTCTGTCATAACAACATGGGCACACACTCGGCATATATGATCCACACATTTGTAATGACACAGGTATCCACAGTCATTGCATATGTAGGAGCCTTGCACAATGCTCCAAATGACTCCGCTGCAGTGATCACAGTACTGTTTACGGTTCGAAGGATTCGTTTGCTGCTCAAAATGATGTCCCTTTATAGAAACGCGCAATCTTGCTTGTCCATTGTTTTCTTTGATATCTTCCAAACGTAATCGTAACTCTACGAGGTACCTCACAAGCCATTTTCGCTCGTCTGAACACTGTGCTGTGTTTAAAACAAGTTCTTTGCACTGTATTATAGCTTTTTCTATCTCTTCCTTGGTCGCTGAGCTGTGAATCTTCAACTTCTTGTTTGCAATTGATTTTGGTATGCAATTCGAGTCGTATCCTTCGTCGAGAGAAACGTTGCCTGATGTAGACGATGTTGAGGTTCTAGAAGTTGCTTCTACGCTCGGGCTGCAGCATATTAGGCTGTTTCTGTATTTTGGCGAGTCGTTCGCGATGGCTGCTGCCATGGTCGTTAAATTTTACACAAAGGATGATGATTATGTCTCGCGTACATTTGCGTAAAATTTTGCAATACGCACGTCAATGTTTTTGTAATTTTATTCAAGCACAAAACTGTTATCTTCGATTACGTCTCATTTCAGCTGTGATTCAGTTGTGTTTTGATAGCGATTCAACGTTTTTTTCTCCGTATCACAAATATCACAATAGCTCTGTTGTCGTCATTTTTTGACAGATGAATAAATTATTCTTGTATGTATGTTGGTGGCATTGGTTGCGTTCCGTTTAGAGCAGAAATGAAAAAGTATTGATAACGAACGCACTGAAATTATTTCCATTGCTTTTAAAAAAAATATCGGTGTTAAATAATAACAGTTTGTTTAACAGTATTTTTAACTAAATAATCATTGAAATATAGTAATCTATCGATATCAAAGTAATAAATGGTTTTTATATCGCCAATACGACGTCAAACGAAACGTAGCCCCACAGCGCAGGCGTACCAAACTCACGTCAATAACTTTTATCAGTCAGCTGTCAACACAAAGCAAATCATTCCGTTCTACCAGCAAAAAAACTTTAGCATACATTGCGTAGAAACTTCAAAGATTTAACAAAAATTAATTTAAATTCGATACAAAAGCATCAATGTATATGAATCGAGGTTAACCTCGGCTCTAAGCATTTTAAATTGTATGCTCCGTAAATGAGATCAGCCTCTATATTTGTACTCATTACCTAGTTAATAGGTACTTTGTAAATGACCTATGACCATACACGTGCTAATTAATCTTCATATTAAATATTGATAATATTACGTTATTCTAATAAGTAGGATAAGTAGGTTTTTAGACTGTAGTAAATAGGTCAGAAGGATTTAACCTACCTAGTGACCTAAATTATGTTGGTTGGCGCGGATTTTTTTGTTTTTTTTTTTCAAAATTCGAGTCGATTATTTCCCCTGTACTCATTTAAAGGCAAAGGATAATATAGTTTTTGGCTTTCTTTACTACAAGTAGGTCCCAATGGCACATAAACCATATTAAGATTACGCTAGTTACTTATTATGGTAGCAGAAATAGAAACTTAGAATCCAATGAAAATTGAGTGATAAATTGTGTAATGTTGTAGGTACTATCCTTACCTTCGACCCTATCACCAGAAAACAGACGAAGAAAAAAGCCTATGCGTTACTCCAGACTATAATCTGTGTGACGGGGTTACGAGTGCTTAGTGCATTAATTATACCCAAGAATATTATATCCTAACTAATATTATAAATGCGAAAGTAACTCTGTCTGTCTGTCTGTCTTTTCTTCACGTCTAAACTACTGAGCCGATTTCTGTGAAATTTGGTACAGACATAGTTTGGAACTCGAGAAAGGACATAGGATAGTTTTTATTCCAAATATCTGCAGGAAGTAACTTTTCCACGTGAACAAAGTCGCGGGCAAAAGCTAGTATACAATATAAATATATATACAATATAATATTCTTGATCATACCCATACCCTAAAAAAAAATATCGACTCGACCGACCAAGTTAATCGCACACTCCTTTGGTGTAGCGGGTGTTTTTGAGCGACGTCAATTTTTTATGGGTTAAGTTGGCAAACCAGCTGACGGATTACCTGGAGGTAATCCATATGCTCGTCTGCCGACCTATCAAATAAAAAAAACCAATTTCTGTACTTCCAGAGCCGTTACTTCGAGTGTGATGACGAGAGCGAGGACTACAGTTCTGAAGACGACAGCTACGTGCCCCGGTACGTTGTGGAAGCCATGGAGGCGCACCATCACCTGCCCGAATCTGATGATGATGAGGTTGGTGATAAAACTATGATCATCATTAATTTGGTATTTTTCTTAGGGCTGATTTTTCAATAGTCAGATAAATGTTATCTGAGGAATACAATTGTTGCTGTCACTGCCTTATAAAACATTCTGACGCGACAGCATCATAATTATTCCAAGGTAACTTTTATCTAACCATTGAAGAATCAGCCCTTGGTCAACAATAATATATTTTTTAATGAAGCATTTATACGTCACATATTTGTATGAAAAAAATTGCCTCTTGTTGTCGCTCTAAACTAAATTGTAAAGTTTTTTTTGTTTCTAGACCTTGACATATTCCATATGATTAGGCACCTTGATTTTCGCATTTTTTTATGTTTTACTGGCTAGGTACGAAATACCTAGTTTGTCCTGTGACCAGTCGGTAGAAAACAGTATAGGCAAAAATAAGGGCCACTGGCACCCCGCGCGAAAATATTGTGGTGCCCACTTGAGGGAAGCAATATCAAGTGTTAGTTTTTTGCTGATCGTATTGATATCGTTAGAGTCACTCCTCGACCACAAACCCTCAAAAAATCTCAATATAAAATATGCATATGCACAGAGCGTAGAGCACAGTTCTGAGGGTTTGCATCAATGGAGGCAAGAGACTGCAACTTCAGACCTTGGTGCCCACCAGAATTTGTCGCCCTGGGCCATCGCCCCATCACGCAAAAGCATGATAAAAAAGTTAAATTTCTTGTGTTATTTTTTTTCTATTGCAATTTTTCTAGGTTTTCGTTGACACAGTTCCCGGGGATAATACATCCACAGACATGTTGTTGGATGACAAGAAGATGTCAGTGTCATCCGATGAACCAGTTACGGAAACGGATGCTGACGCCGAAGATAAACTTCAGCTAGAGGTCGCTGCCGGCACTCCGGTGTTGTTGAATTATTTGTTGACCCATCCTATTACATGCAGCATACAATAGTTGACGGAATTTTTGTTGTTGTTGGAAAGGAAGGCTCTTTTTTGACGCAGTTGTTGGATCTATGACAGTTGTTGATGTAACTCTGACATGGAAAATCATGGTGTTGCCTAGGCGAAAAAATGTTTGTTTGATTTCTCAATATACTGAATAATTAAACGATTTTTTTGCAACGCTTTGACTCGGCATGGGCCTTCAAATATAATACCTATGCATATATTTCATCATTATATTGAAAATAGAAAGTATCGTTTTTGACATTTCAATAAAAATATGAAATTTCACAAATTGAAAACAAACGGGTAGTTCGAGTGTAGATTTGTTATTTTAATGGCATGGACCTAGACAAAATACCAACTCTAAAACTAGATTTAAATGTCAACTCTAAAACTTGATGGAGCCTATATTTTCATTGATACCCCGAGACAAAAATAGGTTTAGTATCAAACTTATAAAAAAAGTCACTCAGAGGACAGCCTTTTTTAAAGTCTGAACACGCTTAAAAAAGAGAAAATAAAACTAACAATTAAGTACTTATTTATCGAAAAAAAGTGCTTATATCAATATCAACTAAGATTTTAAGCTTCAATTTACTTATTGAAAAAACTAAGTTCCTTTACAATGTCAAATTTAAATAAGTAATAAATATTGTAAATTACAATTCTCACTAGATTATATTATTAATACTATAGTTATTTATTAATTAGTTAACAATGTAATTAGACGTTAATTACGTTTGAACGCCGCCTCATTTAAAAATACAGTGATATTTTAGCTTAATTAGCTTTTTTGATGTGATTGTAAACAGCAGCTCATGTAGTGTAGATGTCCAGTCAACTGATGGTAGCGGTGACTGTCCAGGCGACACACGTACTTAGGTATCGTCATGAGCTAATGTTCGCATGTAAACAGCGGGTCATGTAGTGTAGATGTTCAGTCAACTTATGGTAGCGAGTATTATGATAAAATATTCAACAGATGGGCCCCATTGGGGCCCAGTGGGCTAGTCTCTATGACTCATTGGGCCCCTGGGATATCCTTTTCCATATATAAAAAGTACTTTGTCGATATCCTTCAGGCTTCTTGAATATCATTGTTTTAAATAGTATTATTCCTAATAGTTTTGTAGTTTTTAAGCGAATATGTTTGTGAGTTCCTAAGCTAATATTATTTATGTAGGTATAGGAAATAATAGTTTATTAATTAAGTTGATTTTAGTAGGTATGATATTAGGATTATAATTTATTCGCTTTACTGTAATTTAGATAGATTTTAATTCAAGTTTCCTAGTCAATCGAGAGAATTTATCGAAAATATTATTTAATATATATGAGATAAGGTTTTTTTTTCTTTAGTCTGCTAAATTTTTGACTGGTATGCAACCAACAGAATGTTTTTCTATTTTTAAAATCAGATTGCGTTCTATCTGTATCAGTTTCTTGCCTTAAATGTAATTAATAAGCTTCTTCTTAAAGCTAAGAAAAGAAAGTAACGAAATCTGAAATCATGTGATTAAAATTATATTAGAAATTATATACTAATTATTGCATTTCTAAAATAAGCTGTAAACTAATAAGAATAAAGCTCTCTCTTAGTTTATAAGGCACTTTGACTAATAGAAACACAATCACTTCATGCTTTATCATGAACAAACTGCAAAGAGGTCAACTATCATATTCATCATCACTGCTGAGCAAATGCCTCTTCTCACATATAAAATGTTTGAGCACTATTCCTCACGCTTGCTCAAGTCATATTGACGATTTCATACTTATAATTAGAAAGTATAAGTCCAGATTTCCTCATGATGTTTTTCTTCACCGTATGTCAGTGGTGTCTTAATAATCATAGAAAGTACATATAACTCGGAAAAAGTCACATTGGTACTTGCCAGTTTTCGAAGCCGTACTTCCATGTATGAGAAGTGGGCGCGTTTACGGGCCATTTGTATGTGATAAATAATAATTGATGATGAAACGAACATGTGTTTTTAGTTCGTCACGTATTTCCTGTTAAATAAGTTGAAGTTTCTCACGTACACTACACTTACAATATTATAAAGTTTGTCTGTTTGACAGTGCCAATCTTCAGAAGCACTGGTTCGAAACGAATTAAGATTATTGTGTTGGATAGTCCATTTATCGAGGAAGGCTTTATATACAAAATATAATATAAAATATCACGCATTGACTAAGTAATATAGCACCTGAGAAGATATATTATAAAAACCATATAATAATATATCTTCTCAGGTATCAGGTCAAAAATATATATATATACTAAAAACCATATTTAACTATATATAGGTTCTTATTGTAGACAAGCAATTTCATTCTTGATATTGTTAAGTAGCTTAAGTTTAGAAATAATTAAAACATAAGCCAAAGCTATGCCATTTTTGCTACAAACTTTATTTATTTCTTAAATATTGTAAGTTAATTTAAGTATATGCTTGTAAAATATTACATTAATAAAGTGTATAATGTGAATTCGTATGTTTTTATTTTGTAGATCAGATAAAATTTTATTGTAGGAAGTTGAAGATACAAATATGTAATTGCTTTAATAAATTATTTTGACTTTTCAATGCAAAGAATTATTATTTCATTCAGTTAATTTTGTTTATTCAGTGATTTAACGATTTTTTTTAGGATAAGCCCCCCCACTACCTCCCAAAACCGCAATTCCTGTAAGCCAGGATCTACAGTAGATACAACCATGACAACAACGGAACACTGAAGTCCGGCGCGTCCCAGGGACATGAATGACTGTCTTGGATCCCGCAACGAAATAAATCAGAAGATATTTGAGTAGAAAAAAATAAGCGATGATATAACGATATAATTAATATCAGTGTTTTTCTAGCTTATTTCCAACAAACATGTACTATTATGTGTTTGACGCTAGATATACACATAGCTTTGTACAAAATTCATAGAAATTAATTTACAATAGTATTAAATCCTAACTATTAAGCTATGAGCTCCTAGTAATTCAAACTAATATTTAAAATGCGAAAGTAACTCTGTCTGTCTGTCTTTTCTTCACGCCTAAACTAAACTACTGAACCTATTTGTGTGCAAATTGGTACAGACATTAGAATTAGAACTCAAGAAAGGACATAGGATAGTTTTTAAACCAAAAATCTGCAGTAAGTCACTATTCCATGCGAAAGGAGTCGCGAGCAAAAGCTAGTTTCAAAATAAAACACAAAATCTCCTTACAACTATTTATTCTCAGTCATTAAAAATCCATTTATTTATAATACACGATAATCATTCACACTGATGATACAAATAATTATTTTATCACTACAACTTTAAAATGTTGGGAGTAAGCAGTGAGGATGGTTGGGGCACCGACTATATACAGGGGCCCAACGATTTACGTGGGCCCCGACTATTGACAGGGTCCCACAGATTAACGTGGGACCCTAGTATTTACAGGGGCCCAACGATTAACGTGGGACATTAGTATTAGCAGGGGCTAAAGATTTACGTTAGAGCTGACTGTTAACAGGGGCCCAACAATTTACATGGGACCCAAGTATTTACGGGCTGAATTCAAGAACATAACATCACCCTATGCGTTTTTATAACCAATGAGTTTGCAGAGAAGTAAAAATACAATATAATACCAACTTTTTACGCTGTTCCGGGTAACAATCATTTGTGGATCACACAGATTTGTTCAGCACGAAATTCAATAGTTAGCAGTCTAACAAAACTTATTTTGCCTAGGAACTACGCTTCCTATATACTTAGTACACATAGTATAAAACAAGTCGCTTTCTCTGTCCCTATATCTACGCAACGGATTTTGATGCGTTTTTTAGACATGATTGAAGAGGGAGGTTTTTATGTTTAATAACATCCATTAAATAGTGGAGAAATTTAGTATCAGCATTACACCCGTGCGAAGCCGGGGTTTGTGGCTAAGTATGATTCGTGAGCCAAACAAAATTTATTAAAAATAATGACTTATTAACGTAAATTAACTGATAAAATCTCTACTAATTTCAATAAACAACGGGACTCTTATTCATGCGCAGCGTCGAGGTGAATTCGTGCAGGTAATTCAAAGAAGCATTATAAAACAAGTACCTACTAGAGTATTTCTTAGTAAATTCACGTCATAATAATTTTCAATATATTTTGCTTTCATCAAATTCAAACATCTAATCTTTACCCCTACCAGTTTAAATGTTAACACCCCACTGCTTACCGCCTATAAAAACATTGAGGATTGTAGTATATTTATAATTTTGGCGATATGTTATATGTCAATGTACGGATGTATGGTTGTTATTCTTGCACGCAAAAACGGCTGAACCGATTAGGTTAAAATTTGGTATGTAGATAAATGATATCCTGAATTAATACATAGGCTTGCTTTTTATCAACATACCACTCGATCAAAGCCGCGTTTGGTAGCTAGTTTATCATAAGTTTTCTTTACACAAATCAATACCAACTATACTCAATCCTCAACTACTGTAAGTATAAAAATGTGTAGTTATGTTTGTATATTTACATAGTTTAGTTATTTTAAGGGCATTTCCTTTCGAGCTGTCCTTTTCCACCTTCATCGTACTCTTGTGACGATATCCACATTTGCTGGAATGAACCTATTGAGGCTAGAATCGAGCCACCTGAAAATAAAAACCAAATTTGTATTATTATTTACTTAGCTACACAGACGATCAGACTGAGAGACTTTTATTTTATTTTAACGTTTCATAATATCTGTTTATGATTTAGTTGGATTAAATAATTTTGACTTAGGGCTGATTTTTCAATAAATGTTATCTGAGGAATAAAATTGTTGCTGTCACTGTCATTCTGACGCGACAACATCATTATTATTTCCTAGATAACTTTTATCTAACCATTGAAAAATCAGCCCTTAAGTTTTTAATTTACATCATCTAATAAGTACAGGTTTCCTCATGATGTTTACCTTCACCGTATGTCAGTGGATGTCTAAATAAGTATAGAAAGTACATATATATGTACTAACCAGGCAAGTACAAATGTGACTTTTTCCGAGTTATAACTCGGTTGACTGGTTTCAAACCCATGCATGAGAGGCGCCCTAACCACCGGGCCACAACAACTTTTCAACTATTTAGGCAGTCATAATTAATTTAAGAATTCTAAGTGTGAAAGAGCCATGCTTCGGCATGAATGGGTCGGCTCGACCGGAGTGATACCACGGCCTCACAGAAAACCGTCTCCTCTCCCCCAATTCCTAAATCTCCCCAACCCTGATCCCTCAAAGGTCGACAACGCACTTGTAATTGCTCCGTTGTTGTGATTACTTAACATCAGGTATCCATAAGGTCGTTCGCTGTCCTACCAACAAAAAATAAAATATTGGCATTAAACTCACCGATCCACGCAGCAAACCGTCGTTCAGTAGGATTGGGTGCTGCGGTAGTCTTCAGGCGATGTGAGCTGGGAGCCCTGGCGGCGAGGTCCTTGGCGAGGCGCTCCAGCCAGCCCGGGGTGCTGGCCAGGCCTCCGCAGGCCACGACGGAGCCCCACAGCGCGGGCCGCGCGTCCGCGTCGCAGGCGGCCGCCGCCGCGCATACTGGAAACCATTTGAATATGATTCTAGAATATTTTTATTAGGTACTAGAGACGATTTACCACCACGGTACCACGGGGGCAATGTTGATACTAAATTTCTCTACTATTTAATGGATGTTATCACGTCAAATGTTGCATATTAATGTTACTTCTTCTTGAATCAAATATTAAAAAGCAGCATAGGTACAAATCCATTGCGTAGTTTAAATATTTTATGCTAAGTATGTAGTGACCTAAATATCTAAATCTAAACTAATATTATAAAGAGGTAAAATTTGTAAGTTAGTAAGTTTGTATGTAGGGGGTAATCTTTGGAACCGCTGGTCGGATTGCCAACATTGTTTCACTGATAGATAGCTACAATCCTGAGTGCTATATGCTAGCGGCCAGATGATACGTGATCAGAGATTATTAGTTCTTTGTAACAACTTCGTATTCTGATTGTGTGTATGTGTGTGTGCCAGTTTTGAATAAATACGCTACTAACCCAAATGCGGAGCGCCCAGTGTGGGCTCGAAGAGACACTCGGTGAGCTTGAACCGCTCGGGACCGAAGTCCTGGTGGTACCCGCCGGGGAACTCGTAGTGGGTGAACGGGACCGACGCCGCTTGACGTTCCTCGTATTGGCTTTCAGATATCTGAAAAGGTAGGTTCGGAGTGATTATTATATAAACATTGATTTTACTAAAGTTTACTTTAGTAAAATCAATGCTTACATCACTGCTTAACATCAGGTGGGATCGCAGTCAAGCACTGGTTTATTGCAAGTAAAAAAAAAAAAAAAAACTTTCCGCACCGTATGTTAAGACCGATCTAGACGCGTATAGTCGAGACTGGTGGACACGGTCGAAAGATCGGGAGGTGTGGAAGCGAGATGGGGAGGCCTTTGCCCAGCAGTGGGACATTACAGGCTAATAAAAAAATCACAGGTCAGCAAACGAGCAGACATATTACCTGATGGTAAGCAATCAGCTCCGCCCATGAAAACACGCAACACCAAAGGAGTTACGAGCGCGTTGCGTGCCTTTTACGGGATAAGGGATTTGGATTCAAGGATTGGGAAGAGAGTGGGGGAAGGATTGGGCCTCCTGTAGCCTCACTCACACGGCGAAACACAACGCTGTGGTTGTTTCACGCCAGTTTTCTGTGAGGCCGTGGTATCACTCCGGTCGAGCCGACCCATTCGTGCCGAAGCACGGCTCTCCCACACTTACGATTTTTTAAGAATTTAAACAATATGGCAGCGATATTTCTACATACTATATTAAGAAATGGCAAAGAGCAATCACAAACTTTTTGACATATTTACAGCATTAATAAATTCATCTCATATATAAAAGGCATTCTCCATTGTCGATTTGGTGTGGATTCTTCAGGCCCGGGAAACTGTGCCAGAAGGATCTTAATCAACTCATATTTTTGTTGAGAGGCACCAGTGTTGACACACGTCACTTTATGTTTTTTAGTTTCTACTTCTTGTTTCTTTTTGAGCTTTTTTAATATTTAATACTTGTTATTTTGCAGTATGCACATATTGTTATGTTACTATCTAGATCAAAACCTTTAGTTTTTAAGCTAATAATATTTAATTGTAATGTGTTTTGTGCATGAAATAAATAAATAAATAAAAGAAACTAAATAGTACCTGAGCCACACAATGACAGAAGTCTTCATATTGCCGTTTGAGCATATATTGTTGCCAAGAATGTGTCAGCCCGGCTGGGAGGGTCTTCAGAGTGTAGCGGCCTCGCTCGCGTTCCCTTATAACCTCCTTACTCTGAAAATAATAATAAAAAAAATATCAAATCAAGCGCAATCATCAATATCAATCTTTAAAAATATTATAAAATTATTACCTATGTTATACTTGACTCCTATATTTTTTTTTTATTTTTTTTTTATGTAATTGGTCGGCAAACGAGCAGACGGATTACCTGATGGTAAGCAATCAGCGCCGCAACGGAGGAGTTACGCGTTGCCGACCTTTTAGGGATTAGGGATTTGGAGATTTAAGGATTGTTATATTATTGTATATTTCATTTTTTGACTCGTATTTTTTTTATTTCTAAACTTATACCTATATTTTTTTCTTTTCATTTCAATTAAGATACAATATAATTTTTAATACCTTACAAATGAACACTATAAGTCAAAAATCAAAATCATTTATTTTAATTAGACTCATACAGGCACTTTTGAACATCAAACCAAATAGAGTGCCAGTCTATCGGTCAGTCCTCTTGGTGAAGCTATTTGCTCGTTCCAAAATGTAGATTCCGATGGAGAAGAACGAGCAAGAAACTTCATCAAAATAATATTTTGTTGTGTTATACGAACGTGAGATAAAAAATACATATTATCATTGAAAATTCATCGAAATTGGAACCTAAAAAACAGATAACTCCTTAGTTTGGGGTCAGTGGGAAAATTCTGATTTTTAACTTTTGCTTTTTCTGGCCCTATATCCCTATGTAGGTAGGCTTAAATGTTTAAAACTACGCAACGGATTTCGATGCGGTTTTTAAATAGACAGAGTGATTAAAGAGGAAGGTTTATGTGTATAATAACATCCATTAAATAGTAAATAAGTAATATAAAAATGATTTTCTTTTTCTTTAATTAATATTAAACATACCTGTATACTGTATATAGGTAGCATCTGTATATGCATGTTAGATAGCATATGTTTAGCTTGTGCAGCGAGATGGTCTCCTCCTATTGGGGATCTCACGGCCGCGTTGACAAGGGCATACCTGTAAAAAAAAGAAAATACATTTAAAAACTACAAGCACTTACACCCGGTTTATAAAAGGCTTGTCAACGCTAAAATTAACTACATACTACTGTTAAATCTCTTTTTTTATGTAAACGATCGGCAAACGAGCAGACGGATTACCTGATGGTAAGCAATCAGCGCCGCCCATGGACACTCGCAACGGAGGAGTTACGAGTGCGTGGCCGACCTTTTAGGGATTAGGGATTTGGAGATTTAGGGATTGAGGCGGGATTGGGGAGGGGAAGGATTGGGCCTCCGGTAACCTCACTCACACGGCGAAACACAACGCTGTGGTTGTTTCACGCCGGTCTTCTGTGAGACCGTGGTATCACTCCGGTCGAGCCGACCCATTCGTGCCGAAGCATGGGTCTCGCATACTTGTCAAGTCATCTGATTGGTTGTTGATAATTCAGTCAACCAATCAGATGACTTGACAAGAGATTAAATTGATTTTAACATTGATCGGCCTTTCGGAAACCGGGTGTCACTCTCTTACTCTGAATAGTAAAAATTGAACAGATTTGCATATAGTACAGAGTTAGAATACAGCCCTTAAATACCACAGACTTATAATGAAGGCTGCATTTTACTTTTAGGCAGACGCTGGCAGAAATTAACTACATTCTTTTCATTTAATAAAGACATTTCCCCACAACAGGATTTTCTCCAGTGTCGTGGACTCGTGGATGCGTTTAAAAACATACAAATTCACATACAGATCACACCCAGATCCGGAACGACAATTTGTGGATCACACAAAGAATTGTCCCGGGAATCGAACCCGCAACACGTTACGCTGCAGCCACTGCGCTAACCGTGGAGTATATTGAAAACTACAAGTACCAATTTTACTTTTTCCAAGTTAAGTTCTATTATTATTGAGACACCACTGACATACGGTGAAGGTAAACATCGTGAGGAAACCTGGACTTATAATTTCTAATTATACGTTTGAAATCAAGTGTAGGGGCAAGTGGAACAAATAGGTCAGCTCGACCGGAGCGATACCACGACCTCAAGGAAAACCGACGTTAAACAACCACAGCGTTGTGTTTCGACGTGTGAGTCAGGTTACCGGAGGCCCAATCGCTCCCCAATCCTTAAATATCCAAAAAGGCTTATCCACAAAAGGCCGGCAACATATACTCGTAACTCTTTTGGTGATCTGATCTGATGACCGATTGCAATCATCATCATCATCAGCCTATCAGTGCCCACTGCTGAGCAAAGGCCTCATCTCATACGGAAAAGGTTTAAGCATTAATCACAAAGAAGATGTACTGCGGAAAACATGTTCTAGTAGTAAATGTACTATAGTATGTGGCGATTTTAATGTTGTTCTCTTAGAAAACAATTCTCATTGTACAAACTTGTTAAGTCTCTTTCAATCATTTGATTTGTCTAATGTTTTCCTTGAGCCCACCCGAGTAACATCCACCTCGGCAACTTGTATAGATAATATTTTCTGTAATTGTGATTATTTACAAAGTGAAATTGTAAATAGATTACCATCTGATCACAGTGGGCTCACAGTTAACTTTAATACTATCACAACTGTGCCAAAAAAGGAAATATTGTTTAGACAAATCACATACAAAAAAATTTATTCATTAAATAATAAGCTAAAACATGAATTATGCAGCCAAGTACAAGACAATAATTGCCCGAGTGAGATATATGCTAATTTATTATCCCTTATAAAAATACAGTTCGATAAACTATTTCCTTTAAAACGTAAAAATGTTCAGTGTAAATTTGTATTCTGTGACTGGGCTACACCAGGTATTCGTATAAGTAGAGACAGGTTATTTGAGCTATACGGCCTGAAACCATTTAATAGTAGCGAGGCTTTTCGCAGACACGTTTCCAAATATTCAAAAATATTTAAAATAGTATGTAAGCATGCTAAGTCGCTCCACATTAGTAATAAAATCAGGACCGCGGAAAACAAAATAAAAGCTACCTGGAATATAATTAATAAAGAAACAGGTAGAAATAAATCACAAAACAATGAATTTAATTTAAAAACCGAAAAGGGATATACTAGTTCAAATTCGTCAGTTGCCCAGGAATTCGAAAGATTCTTTAAAAATATTCCTCTTAAAACTACGGAAACGTTAAAATCATCTCCAGCTCTTTCTGTCGAGCTTCTCAGAGGTAACGTCAAAGAATGTCCTTCTGACTTTAGCTTTCAATACACAACCCCCCAGGCAGTAATAAAGGCGTTCAATGAGATCAAAGTAAAGTCAACTGAAGATCTTTGGGGAATGTCTGTTCGAGTGTGCAGGTCGTTTATAGAGACTATTGCGCCGCACTTAACTTTCATTTTTAATAAAAGTGTAGATCAAGGGGTTTTCCCGGATTTAATGAAACATAGTAAAGTAGTTCCATTATTTAAATCAGGCGATAGTACAGAACCTAATAACTATAGGCCGGTCTCTATTTTGCCAGTGCTCAGTAAAGTGTTCGAAAGGTTGATGCTTACTCAAATGCTGCGTCACTTTAACACGAATTCTATTTTCCATGACCATCAATACGGGTTCACCAAAGGACGTTGCACTACGGACGCAGGAGTATCACTTATAAAACAAGTTTTCAACTCGTGGGAAAAAGCACAGGATGCCATCGGAATATTTTGCGACCTTTCAAAGGCATTCGACTGTGTTGAGCACGAGACGCTGTTACTGAAGCTAGAACACTACGGCATTCGGGGGCCATCCCTAGATTTATTGAAATCATACCTTCAAGAAAGAAAAATTAAAGTACAAGTCAACAAAGTTAACTCACTGGGTGCTAGCGTATCTATGGGCGTACCGCAGGGCTCAATATTAGGTCCTTTTCTATTTTTAGTTTATGTGAATGACCTGCCCCATTTGTTCCAAAATGAACCGCATATGGTATTATTCGCTGATGACACTTCATTGATTTTTAAAATAAATAGACGAACAAACAAATATGACGAAGTTAATAATGCCTTAATGAAGGTTCAAAATTGGTTTACAATAAACAACTTACTACTAAATGATAAAAAGACTAAATGCATTAGATTTATTTTACCAAATGTTAAAAGAAACGTATGTGATGATATATTATTAAATGATCAGAAACTAGAATTTGTAAAAGAGACTACTTTCCTGGGGATCACTGTAGATGAGAAGTTGCAATGGGGGCCCCACATCAGGTCTCTAGCAGGGCGATTGAGCTCTGCAGCTTATGCTGTCTGGAAGATCCGACAGCTAACCGATGTAGGCACGGCAAGACTAGTGTACTTTAGCTACTTTCACAGCATCATGTCGTATGGAATTCTGTTGTGGGGACAGGCATCCGACGTTGAGTCTATTTTTATCTTGCAAAAGCGTGCCGTCAGAGCTATATATAACTTAGGTCGTCGCGAATCTCTCAGAGAAAAGTTTAAGGAGATCAACATTCTGACCGTACCGAGTCAATTTATTTATGAAAACATTATGTATGTTAGGAAAAACCTACACTTATTTGTAAAGGTATCTGACAAACATGATTATCATACTAGACATAGGAATAGATTGAGTCAGCCTTTATTTAGATTGGCAAAAGTGCATAAGTCATTTCTGGGTTTCTGTGTTAAATGTTATAATAAAATCCCAGTTGAAATTCAAAATCTAAATGAAAGCAAATTTAAATTATGTATAAAGAAACATTTATGTAAACTAGCATACTACAAACTAAATGATTATATACAAGATAAAAATGCTTGGAGGCTAGCTGGTCCTACTCCACAGGATGTTTAGAGGAATTTTTGATTTTAATTATTAAATTGTACACTATGTTGTTAATTGTTGATGAACTTCTAAGTTTTTGTAAATGTGAGTACCCTGTAACCTATTATAATTAAGTAAGACTTGTAGAATATAGGTACTTGTGTCGGCTGGGAGCTGTCATGCTCACTTAGAGGTCTCATTGGCGGTGGCACGGCCACTGGATCGCCCAATTCCCTATAATATGGTTGAGTTGGGCGGTGCTGGTGTACGTGTCATGTTCGTGAACGGGCGCCGCCTATTGGGACTGGTCATCTCCAGGCTGTCTAAATATGTTGTCCTTGAGGTTCACTTCTTTTTCGTACCTTTTGCCTGAACATTAGTGTTACATTGTTCTCACATATCAGAACCAACTAAATGATGTAACAAAGAAATGTATTGTAAAACTGATTGAAAAAGAGTAACCATGGAGTTTCTTGCTCGTTCTTCTCCATAGGAATCTACACTTTGGAACGAGCAAATAGCTTCACTAGAGGACAGACGGACAGACTGACATGCTTAATTTTAAAGCTCATGTTATATACTTTTTTCCTTTTTTGCTTGCTTGACGTTCAAAAGTGCCTATTGTGGTCTAATTGAAATAAATGATTTTTGACTTTTTTTGACTTTCACCACGCTTGCTCAATGCGGGTTGGCGATTTCAAGCTTATAATTAGAAATTATAAGTCCAGGTTTCCTTACGATGTTTACCGTCACAGTATGCCGGTGGTGTCTAACTAATCATAGAAAGTACTAATATAAATATATCGGCAAACGAGCAAATGGATTACCAGATGGTAAGCAATCCGCGCCGCCCATGAACACCCTCAACGACGGAGGAGTAACGACTGCGTTTCCGTTCTTGTGGGGATTAGGGATTAGGAGATTTTGGGAATTAGGGGAGGGGAAGGATTGGGTCTCCAGTAACCTCAATCACACGGCGAAACACAACGCTGTGGTTGTTTCACGCCGGTTTTCTGCTCGTTCGGCGACCTTTATCATAGAAAAAGAACTCACCCATCAATAACAGGCACGGCCGAAGTCTGACTGGCACCAGCGTCGACCACCAAAGCCGTGCTCTTGCCGTTGGCAAAGGCAGCGAGCACGGCGCTCTTCACTAGGAAGAATGCTGGCGCCTGGTACTTCTCAAAGAGCAGTTCCGCCAGCTTCTCTCGAGCTGGACGCGTCGTCCATACAGCTTCGGTAAATAGGGCTGGGTGATGTTCCGATGGAGAACGGATAACCTAGGTGAAGAACGGTATTGTGTTATCAAGAATTGAATTTAAAATTGGATCATTATGTGGCATAAGTCCAAGAGTGATGGCCTGAAACACAACCTGTGTTTACATAAACCTAGCTTGGGTAGACCGCTTTAATATCATAAGCAGGGATGGTAGGGAGCTCCGTAACCATAACCGAAGCTGTCGGATATCCGATATAAAAAATATTCGTAACCGAATCCTAAATAAAAGTTTCGGTTAATATCGGATAGGGGCGGAGCTTTATTTTTTTTTTATGTGCTAGGTCGGCAAACGAGCAGACGGATTACCTGATGGTAAGCAATCAGCGCCGCCCATGGACACCCGCAACGGAGGAGTTACGAGTGCGTTGCCGACCTTTTAGGGTGCGTTCCCTAATGATTAGAGATTTGGAGATTTAGGGATTGAAAAGGGATTGGGGGAGGGGAAGGATTGGGCCTCCGGTAACCTCACTCACACGGCGAAACACAACGCTGTGGTTGTTTCACGTCGGTTTTCTGTGAGGCCGGTCGAGTCGAACCATTCGTGCCGAAGCATGGCTCTCCCGCACTTAAATTGAGACAGGTATGTTTGTATTTTACTTTTGAAATTCCTTAAAACTTTAAAATATCCGATTCGAACCGAAATTATCCGAAACTAACGGTCCCGCTGTGACTTGAAACTATTAGAGCTTTTCTCAATTAATTCAAGTGAGTAAGTCATTATCCATACTCATATTATAAAGAGATAATTTTTGTAATTTGTAAGTTTGTATGTAGGGGGTAATCTTTGGAACAGCTGGTCGGAATTCCAAAACTCTTTTAGTGATAGATAGCTATAATATTCCTGAGTGCTATAGGCTACAAAACATCACGCTACGATCAAATGGAGCCAAGTAGCGGATGAAGATGAGTTTTCAATAAAGATTTGAAACAATGAAACAATGAATTTATTTTTGCAAATAGGCCATAAAACAGCACTTTTTCACGTCAATTTATATGTAAAAAACTAGATGAAGCAATAAAATTTGGTGTTTTTATTTACCTTTGCATAGCAATAATCAAGCATCTTCTCAAAGAGGTCCCAGTTGTCGACCTGTCCATCTTTCATGTAAGTGTGGACCTCCATGCCAGCTCGGGGCACGTGAAGTTCAGTCACATCTATGTAATGGCGGAGATCACCGCCTGCTTTTGTACCTGGAAGAAAAATAATATTCATTTAATTAAAAGAGTGAAAGTATCCTTAGAGATTACCTGTTATGCAGAGCCCCAGGGCACACTTTAAGTATGCTTTTTTTTGAGGTAGCATGATCCTTAAATTACTTTTCCCTCTCAGGATGGGGCAAGAGGGAGTATCAGACTCTTACTGACTAAAAACCAGCATTGTTCCAGCTCCAGACAGAGGCTACTGTACCTTATTGCGCTTGCCCCGCTATCCCAATTGACTTTAAGTATGTCTATCAACTGTGTTACTTTATCACTTTAAATAACTAAGCAATTGGGAAGGTTCCTAGGTCGAAAATAAACTAATTCAATGTTTCTATAGAATAAAAAATGGTATAATAGCTCTACTTTTATTCATCAATCAATAAATTTTTGAAATAAGTATGCTATTTGACTCAAAAATACTATGACAAATAACTCAGTGTTTCATACAAATTTCATAGAAAAGTATTGTTTTTGACATTTGGATAAAAGTATTGAATTTGACTATTTGGAAACTAATATACTGTTGAAGCAGCTTTTATAAAAACTCTGGCCTATCAATTGGTGTAATTAACTAAATGTAAACAATGGCAGCAATCTTAGGATGTCTTTTTATTTAAAAGCTGTCTAAAAATTTAATGCGAAAAGGTTTATAATCAGGTATTTACCTAAATCGATAGCTAAATTAGCTAATAAACTGAATTTAAATAATCTTTGTATGTACTTTATATGAGCTCTTTATTATAAAAAGACATACAACTATATGTCATAACATATGACAAAATGTGTGCCGTTTTTAGAGGGTTGATTAGTGTCGAGTAGACCAGTATAAATGCTTGAGGTTAAATTCCTATTGCAATATTGTAAAGATGAACTGTCTGTAAGTTTTGTTGTAGTAACTTTGTTTTGACAATAAACAATTGTTTCCGAGCCACATAAATGCCTATAAACTGTCTTTTCCAGTGACAAATGCGATCAGAAAGCCTTACATACATATAATACAAGCTCGGAAAGCTGAGATACTTAGAAAGTGGTAGCGATATCGACAACAAAAAATGCTTAGAGCAGTGATTCAAAAATGTTAGGATAAAACCTTACCGCTTTGCGTGACATTGCCATCAGGGACCTTCTCCTCAGGTTCAGGGATATGGGTGGCTGGTCCTACGCCAACCACAGCCGGAATATCAGCTTTAGGCGTATCTTCCTGAGCATAACCAACGCGCAACGAATGATGTCCAGGATCGAAGACCAACGCGCCTATTTCATCGCCACCATACAGCATCCCGTTAGGACCACTCATTCTTCAATTTATTACTAAATAGCACGTTTTTTTTGTTATTTTATTTATATTTTCGGCGCCGCGTAGCTTTTGTTGATTACCAACGAAACGAATTATTTGTTATCTGTGGAATCTTTGGCAACTACAAATCTAATTGTAATTTTAAGCATACACTCTTGATAGACAGAGATAGCAAGATATACTATGAACGAGTGCGAAGCGCTGGAACTGTTTACACGAAAATGTATGATTTGGAACGCGGTTCATCATGCTGCGTGTAACAGAAAAGCGTTATTAATTTTTGACCGAATTATTTAATTTATTTTTTTAATATCACACATCTTTTGTGTGATTTATTGAATTTTATTATATTGTGATGGATTTTAACATAAATTTATAAGAGAAACGTTTGCAAATTACTAATTATTGAAGCTCATGTTTTAGTTAGCTTTTACGTGAATAAAGGAATAACAGCTCTCAGAGCGCCAAACGAGCGAGGAGCTTTATCTTTGAAAAATGCATGGAATTTTAACGGGGACTAATAAAAAATAAAACAAGAGCTTATTCTGACAGCACAATTATATTACAACACAATTAAATGTTTTATGCGAACAAATAGGTATATCACTATACATATAATAATATAATCATAGTTTATTTCTGCTAAGTGTATACGTAACGGTGTAGGTAATAGGGAAACCAACTTTTATTTAATTTTCTTAACGTTATACATCAATTATTTTACAATAATTATGTCCTCTATTAATCCTGTAATTCTATTTATTGGGTTGTAGGTACAATTAACATTAAGTAAGTATCAGAAATAATAACGACATTCGTACCTACTCTTTAATAGGTTAGACTTAACAAAAGTAGAAATAATTTAAAAAAGTAATTAAGAAATGAAAGTAATATAATTTATGTAAATTTATACCTATAGTGAACACAAAGTCTGTTTTAAATAACAATAAGTATCGAATTGTAGGAACAATAATACAATAGTAAGTATGTATAATTTTTCAACTTAATACTTGTTAATATTAATTAATGAAGTACTTTTTCACGCGATACCCTTTGCTAACACAACTATAGTGATAGAAAATTGTTCATTGACAGTAAGAAATTGTATAGGAACCATACTAAAAGGCTTGCAAGTCAATGTCATAAGTACACACGTAATACAAAGTGTGATTTGGCTCGATAGAATTAGTAATTAAATGTATTGAACACATTTTTGTGTCGTGCTTATACATACGATGATAAATTAATGAATAAAACTCTAAAGAGATAAAACGAGCTGTTTTTTTGCGATTGGTCGGCAAACTAGACTACGGAGTACCCGATCGTAAGCCAATGCGTTGGCCTTTTGGAGATCAGGGTTTCGGAAACTTAAAGATTGGGGGCAGGTAAAAGATAAGTATCTCAATGCCCCACTCACTCAGCGAAACACAACGGTGGTTGGATGTTGATGAGAATTACCAAATTATATATAAATGTATCATTAAAAATAAATGGTACTAGTAGGTACCATAAAGACTTTTTAATATTTAAAACATAGATACTCATAGATATTATTTTCTCGATAAATAAGTATCCAAGATCTACTACCGAGCCAAATCATTTTAAAACACACACAGTACGAAAGTATACCTAATAAGGTATATAAATACTATGCTAATACGTATATCTACCTATAAAATGTAATAGCATATCGTATATTCAGTGAGTATTATAAAATTAAACATTACGTGTTCCACGTCAAACAGTTACAAGTCATTAAAAAGATTACCTTGTCATAACAACAATAGATTGAAGTTTTATTGAGTATTCTGGAGTGGTTTTTCAAATCTGACTTCCCCCCATATTTTGCTTTTTAAAACTATACAATAATTCACACATTCTATTCAAAAAGACACATCCTAAATACTTACGTTTGACTAAAAATTACTTGCAAAAATATTTTTTTATATAGATAATTTTGACATAAATATTACAAATGTTTTTTGTGGTATACGTTTTAGTGTAAGTGTGGTATAATTTTGGTAATACGTTTTAATGCCGATGCGTTTAAATGTTTTAGAAAAACGATTGTATGATCATTTCATTTTCTTGCATCAACGTGCTCCTAATCCTCCACTTTCTAACTTTTTATAAGACGAATAGAATGTGGAATCAATTTTTTATAGTGCATCAAAAAGTGTTTGACCAATGAAGAGCTCAATCTTTCAATCATAATATCGTATAGATTCTGCACCACTGTTTCTAAACGTCCATGAAAAACTACAATATTAAATCCTATATACACTTGATCTAACTAGACATTCATTTATACTAATAAAACCTAGCCCGTAGGTAAATCTTGTGTAGTTTACGACAGTATAGAGAAAAAAACTAGTAGTAGACAATATTCCCGCCAGCAGGAATAAAATTTTTAGACAAATTTTGCACTTTTTTAATAGAATTTACACTTGTTTTGTAACAAGGTCATTTTTAGCAATAAATAAAAATAAAAGGTCATATTCATAAATAATTGAATAATTTTGTATTTTGACTACAAAATTTTGCCGAATTAAGTATTTTACGGGGACACAAACAAAATTAAGTTAAAGTTTTATTGCAAATTCTATTGTAAAAGAGCAATATAAGTATGTATAATACCATGCAGTCAAAATGGCCCATTTTACTCTTTCAAGATACAAAATTACAAACAGATATAGTTACATAGCTTCCTCATTATAGTACCATTATACAGTGGTTCCATATGATTTTTTCACTTCCATACTTCCCACGTTCCTATATAAATATACAATAGAGAAAATGTTTCAGTCTTACACGGAATTACACAGAGGCCATCTTGTCAAATCGCTTGCAAATTGAGAATAATTCACGTGATTATAATATAGTTATACATATATTTAATACTATACAATATCATACTTGGGAAAATTCATTACATAACATACGACTTTAATTCCCTAGAGATTTAGGTGGTTAAACAAAAGGTTAACAATCTTGGCATATCTTTTTATCTAAAACTGTATGTAAAACTGTTTACAATTAGGTATGTAACTTTATCGATGTTAGCTAATAAACTGAATTTAAATAATCTTTGTATGTATTTTATTCGAGCTCTTTAATATAAAAAGACATACCAAGATTGTGTACCTTTAGGTAACCACCTAAACCAATACACTGATAGACGTATGCTGGCTGTTTTACTCACTTTTCATCCATCCAACTCTGAAAATCTGATAAGTAATAAGTTTGTTCCTGTCACCTTATGTAGCTAGTTATTACATAGAAAATACACTTACTAACTAATTTGCAGCCTGCAACGACAAAATTACAAGAGAGAACACACAAATAGTACATACACTAAACCTACTAATTTATTAATGCACATAACTTCAGCTTAATTCACCAAACCCCTAAGCGAACGCTGGCGTTCGCGCGCTTATTGTTCTTCTATTGTGTGTCGAATTACCACGTATGAAAGGTTAAGACAAATTTCTAGTTTTAATGGTACGCGGTAGGCTAACTTATTTTTTTTTTCACATTTAAAATTAATTTTATAATAATGAAGTTAATTAAATCCAAATTCATAAAAGTATTATTATAAATAATAATATTAAAGTATGATATTTTGATTTTGGCAGTTTAGAATTTGATATTAAGACCAAAATATTAACATATTTTATAACACAGATTAACGCTAATAATTATAAATAATACGTAGGTACATACTTAAGTAAAATTATATTTCTAGTGTATACATGTCACCGGAAAGTCGAAGCCGAAAGTTTGGTGGTCGTAAAATAATACAACTAATCTCTCGTTTAGAATCCTATGAAAGTTTATAAATTGCCTGGTAAATTACACCCTACGAATTTAATTGGTATCTAAAAGTAAAAATCTTCATTCAAAGGACCTAAGAAAAGTAAAGTTAATGCACCGTATTAAAATTGATAGAGCTCATAATAAAGAAATTACGTTAGACACGAAAGTTTTACTGTAGAGATGAGGTGTATTGAATTTTTCCGACCATGATATTATTACGAATTACAAAATGGGTAATACGTAATTAGGTACACTTATCTAAATTGACTAGACATTTATCACAAGCTACATAGAAGGCGCGCCTTCAATATTTATATCAGACTAATAAAATGTTAGGGAGCTCATTCTTTTATTCTTATTAGTTATTCATAGTCTACAGATTTAGGTTATTTACAAAATCTGAACAATCTTACTTAGCATGTCTTTTTTATCTAAAACTTGATGTAAAAGTGTTTACAATCAGGTATTTACCTAAGTCGATGTTTGCTAATAAACTGAATTGAAATAATCTTTATATGTTTTTTATACGACATCCAAACTATCCAAACTAATATTATAAATGTGAAAGTAACTCGTCTGTCTGTCTGTCTTTTCTTCACGCCTAAACAACTGAACCTATTTGTGTGAAATTTGGACTACAGAAATGACATAGGAAAGTTTTTATACCAAAAGTTTGCCGGAAGTCACTACTCCACGCGAATGGAGTCGCGGTCAAAAGCTAGTCTTAAATATAAAAAGACATGCCAAGATTGTTTACCTTTAGTTATCCACCTAAACCGATAGATCATAGTGTTGAAAAGACATAGATGTAAATATAGGGATAATTCTAATCGATTTTTAAGCAGCTATTGAATAAAAGAATCAGCTCCTTCAATATAATTTCGTACTAGTTATAAATTGGTTATCGTGAGAATAATAGTTTTCACGCAAAAATTATGTAAAGGTGGAGGTTGTAACTTAGAACGAATAAAAAAGAGCTGTTTCTTTCAATTGTGACGTCAAATATTCTTATTCGTTTTAAGACACAACAATGAAAAGTGTTTGTTTAAAAACAACACGTGTGTTGTTTATTTAATACAATAGTAGGTGATTTTGGGTTCAAAATAAGGCTAATTTTACGCACTAAACTCTAAATCATCAATAATACTCATGTTAGATAGATCCGCCATATTTATTTTATTTAGGTTTTTGAACTCTATAGTGTGTCTGTGGATAATTATAACGAAAGGGAAAATAAGAACGCCGAAAGATTAGGCATTGTTTAGATGTAATATTGTAACCCCATGTTATAG